CTCTCCAGATTGCGCAAAAGGGGCTGGAAAGAAGCCTTATGGAACTTTCCTCTTCAATTGGGGGAAAAAAATAAAAACAAATAAACTTTTTTTTGGGGGGGGGGGTTGAAGTAATCTCATACTTTCGAAAATATTGCAAAAATAGCACAAAGCATTTCTTTAACCCTTCGGGCAGCTTCTCGAAATATTAACGTCTTATGTAACTCTAGTAGAAAGATCAAAACCAGGAAATTACCACTGATATACTACTATTCGCTAGACTATTCACAGAATTTATCACAGTTTGCCAATGTCCTTCTCTTTAGTGCTCTTTTCCTATTCTAGGATCCAATCCAGGATCATACATTACATTGAGATGTCACATCTCCTTAATTCTTTTAATCTCAGACAGTCTTCTGTCATTCTGACTCTTTCCTGATCAAAACCATTTGTAAAAGTACTGGCAGTCTTGGGTAGAATAATCTTGGGTTTTGATTTGTCTGATGCTCCTTCTGATAGGCAAGGGTACCACAGAAGTGATACCACTCAGGAGACACATGGCATCATTATGTCTCATTACTGGTGAAGTTAAAAACCTTTTCTGTCACTGACTCTTGGATCAAGAGGCTTTAAATTATGCTATAAACTGATTCTGTAATGTGGGTATTGATTATATAGCTATAGCTTGACCCATGAGAGTCTCTGGAGCCAAACAACGCAAACCAGGGCCAATCATGCTGCTTGATTCAGCCTCATGTACTGGGAAAAGAGTTCTGTAAAATCAAGCCTAACCTAAACAATATGAAAGCAAACAACCCAATTAAATAATGGGCAGACTGAAGAAGACATCAAAGAAGATACATAGGTGGCAAATAAGAGTAGGAAAAGATGCTCAACATCAAATGTCATTAGAGAGTTGCATATTAAAACAGAAATTAAATACTACTGCACATCTGTTAGAATGGCCCAAATCTAGAATGTTAACAATAAATCCTGGTGAAAATGTGGAGCAATAGGAACTCTTATTCATTGTTGGTGGGATTTCAAAATGGTATAGCCACTGTGGAAGACAGTCTGGCAACTTCTTACAAAACTAAATGCTCTTACCATACAATCCAGCAATCACAAATCCATGGTATTTACCCAAATGAGTTCCAAACTTATATACATGAAAAACATGTGCACACAAATTCTTGTTATCAGCTTTGGTTGTGATTGCCAAAACCTGGAAGCAATCAAGATGTCTTTCAAGAGGTGAATGGATAAACAAACTGTGATACATACATACAATGAAATATTCTGTGCCAAAAATAAATGATCCATCTAGCTAAGACATGGAGAAACCAATCTGAGCAGGCTATGATTCCAATTTTATGGCATTTTAGAAAAGGCAAATTATGGACATAGCAAAAATATAAAATGGTTTCCAGGGGGGCTGGGGATATAGTTCAGTTGGTAGAATGCTTGCCTTACATGCACAAGGCCATGGGTTTAATCCCCAGCAACACACACACACACACACACACACACACACACACACGAAAAGAAAAGGAAAAGAAAAAGAAAAGAAAAAAGTTGGTTTCCAGGGCTTGACAGGGCTGAGGAAAAAAAAAAAAGGAATGAATAGGTGGAACACAAAGGATTTTTAGAAACTGAAACTAATTCTTTGTGAAGCTATAACGCAGATCATATCATTATATATTTCTCAAAATCCATAGAATTTACAAAACAAAGATTAACCCAATTGTAAAACAGGTCCAAGTTAGCTATAGTTAGGCTCCCTTACCAAAGCTCCCAGCAGGCTATGTTTTTAGTATATAGCTAAGGTCATGAACATCCTGATTCAGCATATGTACTCACGGTCATAAACATTGCTTATGAGCATGTGCCCACTTATGTAACCTGTTGGCAATGTGCCTTTCTTGTCTGATTTGTCTATTTAAAAAGGGGGGTCTATGGAAATGGTTCAGGGAACTGTCTGGGGGCAAAGTGGGGCTGGAGCTGGGGGCTTATAAAAGTGTCTTTTTCTACCTACTGGGATCCTGAATGTGTTTCCTAGGGTCTGATCCTTTTCCGACACCAATGTAAACTGTGGACTTCAGTTAAAAATAATGTATCAATATTAGCTTATTGATTTTAACAAATGTACCACCCTAATGGAAGATGTTAATAATAGGGAAACTGAGTGTACGTGTAAGGAAGTATATGGCACTACTTTTTGCACACCCAAAAACTAAAGTGTATTAAGAAAATAAAGTCTAGCCCTTTTCAAATCCTTTCTAGCCACTTTTATGCTTCTGATAGTCCAGTCTGAAATGGAGTGATTATATCAATTAAATTTGATCAAAAATATCCATAAGGAGAGCCATAGAATGTTAGATGTAGTGCATGCCATCCTCATTTACTGATAAGAAAATTGAGATCAAAACAGGGATAAGACTTACCCACGGATACATAGCAAATACAAAAAATTGAGCCACAGCCCAAGTCTTTTGCTGGATTCTGCCATGATTCTAGGTTCAGTCTGCCAAAGTTTCAAAGTCTTGCCTAACTTTTTATTTCCATTAAAGATGTCAATAATAGGTCTACATTACTAAACCCAAACTTGAAAGAAAATCATTCCAAAGTTACTTGTGCATTTAAATATTGGCACATCTTGATTCCAGTTGGACTCTTGCCCTGCTAACTAGTAAAATGAACAGCTCTATGAAATCATGCAATTGAAAAAGTTCTCTTCTCCACTCCCACCTCAGGCCACAAAATATTTTTATTTACATATGTATTTATTTTTTATTAGAGCTTTATGGTTATACATAATAGTTGGGTTCCTCCTGACAAATTCATACATACATAGAAACAAAACTTTATTAATGAGGATTCACTGTTTTTCTTTTTTCTTTCTCAGCTTCTTAACCTTTGAATCTCTTTTCCCACCTCTTTCAGGAAACAAAGGAACAAAAACAAAATAAAAAAAACCCTGAAAAAACTTTAATCTTTCTTCTGCCTCTGTCTATGGCCCATCTCTACTTCCTAAAATACTTTACACTTTCATTTCCACCATCTTCTCAAAATCTAATGTTCCCCATGTCCTAACTTCCCTTTCATGTTTCGGCTTATGTTTCCATTTGGATTGTGACCCCACCATTCTGTTGAATTTCCACTGGCTAAGATCACCAATGGTTTCCTAATCTTGGTCTGACTTCACTTCTTAGTTCTTTAGTGATGGGATCAACATCAACTCGGTCCAACATCATACAAAAAAGTTATTTGGACCAGGTGCAGTGGTATACTCCTGTAATCCCAGTTACTTAGGATGCTGAAGCAGGAGGATTGCAAATTTGAGCAAGAACTTGCCTCCAAGAAAGCAGGGAAGGGGCTGGGGATGTAGGTCAGCAATAGAGCATTTGCCTAGTGTGTGGAAGCCCCTGATTTCAATCCCCAGTTCAGGATGAAGGCAAGGTTATTTGGCCAGGGAATTAAGCACCCAGATTCTTCAGAGTACTGATCACCAACCCACATAAGGTCCTTTGGTTTGGCATTGCTGAGCCCTCCTTTGGCCTGAGATAGTAAAACGTAAGTAACTATTATAGTTTGGATATTAGGTGCTCCCCCCCACACACACACCTCAAAGTTCCTGTTAATGCAGGAATGTTCAGAGATAGATTGGGTTGTGAGAGTTTTAAGCTAATCAATTCATGCTAGTTTGACTTTCCCTCCTCTAAGTTGTTCACAGTGACACAAAAGCTGACTAAAACAGTAACTGTAGCCTAAAATGGAGGGCGAGTCCTTCTCTGTGTATTTCAGCTGTGTATTTTCAGTGGGGAAAAATCAGATGAAGGGAAAAGGCTGATGAGGGAACCAGTGAAAAGGCAGGTGCAAATAATCCAGGGCAGGGATCGGGGGATAAGGATCTAAAATAATACAGTTGGCAACTGGAGATAACCTGCTTTTTGAGAAGTTCAATGTGAAATGAGAAAACTGCTGGCTCAGGGGACATGAGAAAGAGGATCTGAGGATGACTTCTGGGCTTCTAGCTGGGGAGACAGAATATGCTGTCATCATATTAACTCCGGTTGGGGAAATGGAAAAGAAGTTTCTTAAATCCTGCTTGTGATTAATGTAGCTTGGGGGGAAATAGAAATATGTGTTTTCTAAATCTTTTGAGATGTAGACATAGAATGTTTTAATTTATATTTATACAGAGAATTACATACAATGGTTCAGATCATGTAGTTTAAAAAAATGTTGTGAGAACTAAATTTGTCTTCTTAAGATGTTGAGCTAATTAATAACAATTAGGTCTTTGTTTCTCCAAGATGGTTTTAGGATTAAAAAAGGCTAAGATTAAAGTATATGAACCTCTGACTTTCTCCAGAAAAAATCTCAGCAGTGTGGTCAGAATTGGGGGTTTCTAAGACTACAGTAGTCCTTTGCAGCACAGAATTGCCAGATAATGAAAGTATCTTGCCCTAGAATCAGGAAAGGGAAATGCTGAGAGGGGGAAGGTGATTATTAGTATCACTTTGGTATGGGTTCCCCTGTACTTCCACTGTTACGTCTATTGACTTACTTTCTAGGTGCCTGATTTTAAAAGACCAATTTTGTCAGATTTTATGTAGTAGTTGGGTTGGTGAGGCAGACTGGAATGGGTTGTCTTTTAGTTCTTTAGAGACATCTGGAACAGAGGAAATGAGGGAGGGAAACCCTTAGGGGCTTTCTGGATATGTTGAGAAGGACATTCACATAGCTCTTCCAGTGAATAATTGAAAATATGAACCTGGACTATGTATTGAACCATGAGCTAAGAAATGCCTCAGAGGGGAGGTGGTAGACAGGACCCACTCGAGGGAGTGCAAAGAATGGGAAATAAGAGGAGCATAGAAAGGATCCCTGATGATTCTCATAGTTGAGACACATACTAATGAAGGAATCTCAAAAGGAAACTAAAATCAAGCATCCAGAGATGTAGGAATGATTTATTCTTTAAAAAGTACTCATAAAATCATTAAAGAAAGCATTGATTAAAATAACTGAACATTTTATTTCTCATTATAACTATATTCCTAACGTAGGAAAGCCCAAACTAGAGATGTTTTTCTTCAAAAAGAATCAATACTTTTACTTAAAAGATAAAGCAACTTTATTATGGCATCACCACTGTATATAGCTGTACTTTTCACATCAAGTTGGTTTAGTTATTTGAGGAAACTCTAAATGACTAAAATTGTATAGATCACATGTCAAGAGAATTAAAATATAAATGATACTTCAATTAATATTTTAGGACAATTGTAACTATATTAAAACTGTCTTAGAAAATTATTTACAACTTTATGATAGTATAAACACTCTAAATTTAAAATAAAATCTATGTTTTGTACAAAAATACTCTTAAGTACAAATATAAGTTAAACACTGAATAAAACATTCACCATATGTAGTGGATGCTAATAATACCACCTATATTCTGGGTGGGGAAATTGAAAAAATTACCACAAATAATGTATCCTTAATCATTCAAATTTTTAAGCATTTTAGTAATAATCATAAAGTTTAGAGTTTCACTATAAAATTCTTGTTTTTTCAAATGCAAGTTAAATAATTTCCTTCATAGACTCCTCTGTTTAGCTCATGTAAAAAGATAACAGAGTAATAAAAAAATTCCTAATCAAAAGTTGACATGCTATGTGAAACATAAATTGTAAAATCCAGTCTCATCCCTAGCTGAGTCCCTTTTATAAGGAAGTTAAATGTACTAAATTAGAAAACACAAAACACATGGCTACAGGGTACCTAATCAATCTAACAATAATGTTCTCATGACTTAGAAAATGCTAAGTACTAAATCTTCTTTAAAAGCCGTTGTTTTATGAGTAATTATGAATAGAAGAAACATTTCCATATAAATGATATTGATATGAAATATCTTTGGAGTAGTATAAGAAGCATCTTGCCAACAGGCATCATTTTGCTGTATAAAAAGTAAGCATGTCTCACTGTGTAATAATTTTTCCCAAATGCTGCAACTGACTATTTTGAAACAATGTTGACATTATTTGCAGTTGGGTTTTTACTTTGAGGTACTAATTTTGCAGTATGTCAGATGCTCTTAAAAATTAAAGGATAGATATGTGACCTAGTAATGTGCCAGTTTTCATTTTCATTTTCTAAGAAGTTATGTTAAAAATGCCATTAAATTATCTAGTTACCAGCCACATTCTTACAGAGATAATTCACATTAGTTAAACTTAGCCTATTGACAATTTGGATGAGTTCCAGCTTTAAGTCCTTTCCATTCTATCAACCAGAGATAAAAGCATGGCATTTAGTGGACAACTGTGTACACCAGAATTTCAGGGAACCAACTAAAAAAGAAATTAAGACGTCTACTATGGAACATAGTAAACACTGACATTGGGAAAAATTTAAGTGGCTCATTTTTCCTAACATAGTAGTGCAAATAAGAAAACTTTTAGAAGAATTTACTCATGGAAAGAAGGAAGCATGATCTCATCTTCATTCACTCCTTGTTCATACCGAACTGATGAGAAGCCTGCCCAGTGGAAACGGTTTCTTCGGTAGAGGAACCAAATCAGACCACTGATGAGAACTAAGACACTGAGCACTGCAAATGTGACAGCTATTCCTCTGTAATCAGGGCCTGGAATAGGGAAAGGTTTGATATCAGGAGAGAGAATGCACCCGTTATTATGATTATTATGTTATTGTGGTTATTATATTATGATTATGTTATTATTGATTTTGTTCATTAAGGTGTGGGTCACATACATAAGCCATGTCCAAATTAAAGACAATAAATATTTGATTGTTTCACAGCTTGAACAAAAAATTCAAACTCATTATCAAACATTTAACGCTTCCTTTTCAAATTTATGTTTTTCTTTTCATTCAAATTCTTTTTGTTGTTATAAGAATTTTCTTCCAAAGAAATTGAACTAAAGCACTGTTATTATTTCCACTTTCCTTTACCACCACTTTTCTTTCTTTCTTTTTTTTTTTTTGTTTTATAGTTACACATAGTTGTTGGTTTCATCCTAATAAGCATCCTAATATGCATGGAAATAGATTTCAGTTCCTTACTACCACTCTTTTGGGAGAATCACTTCTCATACATTATCCTCCCCTGATTGCAAATTGCTAAAAACTGTAAATTATTGTGTCTGACTTACCTAGGGCCAAATATACTATTATTTGCTTTAAAAATGATTTAATCCTCAAGAATGACCTCATTTAGCCCTTAGCATTCCCCTTTTCTGTGTGCTGCCCATATGGGTTCATTCTGTAAGAGTTAGAATCCTGCCTGTCCCCATCCTGTGGTAGGGATGGAATCCAGGGCCTTGTGCAGCCAGGAGCCAGCATTCTGTCACTAGCCACATACCCAGCCCTGACCCATGGCTTTAAATACCGCCTCTATATCAACATCCTGTCTCTCTCACATATTCCACTGCATACTAGAAATTTCCATGTAGCCATCTCTTCCCCATATGGACAACTCAAAACAGCCAAACACAACTCTTAATTTATAATACCCTAACCCTATAGGATTCTAACTTCCCCTGCCCTCCCGTGCATGCACCCTGCCAATCTTCCAGTTGCCCCCATACCTTACTTCCAAGTCTGTCTGGCCCCTGCTACCTTGAAGCTCTTCCTTAAGCTCTGGGCAGGCTCATTCAGCCTTAGATGCTTTGCTGCCCTGGTTCCTCTGCCTGCTGTGCCTTCCCCTGATCTCTGCTGGGCTGACTTTTCAGATTTCGGTTTCTGTGTCTCCAGCTCTTCCCTGGTAACCTAATCTAAAGCAGCCATCCACCTAGTCACACAGTTTATAACTATCTGATATTTTTTTCTTTTGCAAAGACTGACCTGCTTGTTTATTTATCTTCTTCTACTAGACTGTAAACCCTGTGAGAAGAGGTACCTGATCTGTCTGTTCCCAGGTGCACCCCAGCATGTAGAGCAGGTCACATCAAAGAGGAGACATACTTGCTAAATGAATGCATGCATAAAAAGATACCAAGTACCTACAATTGGAGTTTTATCTTTAATATTTATAAACCAAAATGGAAAGCTTTATGCTAGGTCTTTTAAAATGTTAATGTGAAAATTTTAGTTTTCTCCATAAATGAAGTTAAAATATTTTATAGTTATTTTATCTATTAATTCATTATTAAACTTAACTTCAAATTATGATTTCCTTCAGAAAATCATAATTTGAAGTTATGTAAGTATTAAATTTAGTTTTAGATTGTTTTAAAATTAATCATGAGTTTTATGGGAGTGGGGGAAAAAGGAAGCAAGTCAACTTCAGAAATAGACCTTTAAGCCTTTATATATTCAAACTAAGAAATAAAATACATCTTAAAAATGTTTTCAAAGAAATTACCTCCCTAATACTCTGGTGGCTTCCATTTTTCTGAGGAAATAATTATATAAAGTTTAGATTATTTAATAGCTTCCTTTGGGATCCCTAGATATCTTATGCATTTACTGTTTATTATAATCTTTTTTTCAGGGAGAAAAGTTCTAAGATTTAATGAAGATTTTTGGATACACTTCATAAATACTTCAGGACCAAGTATAAAAACTTAGCACATAATTGGACTATACATTTATTTTTTGACCTTTTCTGAATGATTTATTTTTAATATTTATTTTTTAGCTGTAGTTGGGCCCAACATCTTTATTTTATATATGTATTTTATGTGGTGCTGAGGATCAAACCCAGGGCCTCACACATGCTAGGCGAGTGCTCTACCACTGAGCCACAATCCCAGCCCCTCTGAATGATTTCTTAAGGACAAGTTAGATACTTACCCAGAGGGACTTTGCAGACAACTCTTCCATAGCCACGTGAACATTCAACCTTTTTCCAAGTTTCATTGGAAGCTAACAAAATGCTACATTTTCCATCACCACTCTTACTTTTATTTTCCCATCTGACAAATGTCACTTCTGATCCGTCTAACCAATTCCAAGATTGATCTGAAGAATGACATTAAATATAAATAGATTACTGCTACTAAATTACTGGATTAAAAACATGTGGCTCAAATAACTCATTTACTTAGAATGGTGTTGTCCTATGAGAGCCACTATTTAAAAATGAAATCCATTAAAAATGAACAGAAAAAAAATTAAATAAGATATTTAATTACACTTGATGTTACATTTCAAGAACTCAGTAGCCATGTGGTTGGTGAATACTATCTTAATGCAGAACTGGAATATTTTCATCTTTGTAGAAAGTTCTATTGGATACTGCTATAGAACATGATGTTTTGATTAATATGCAGGGCACATGCACATTTATCCTGTGCAAGATTTCTTGGGATCATATCTTCCCTTCTTTAGAAAATTTACTGAAAAAAGTTATACTGCTGGAGGAGGATGAACCCTAGAAGGCTCAGGAGTCACCCCCTTGACTCCATGTTTGTTTTTAGCTGAGGTAGCACCACCTTGTGGTGAGCTTGTGAACACAGTATCATTAAGTCATTTAGAAGGCCAAGTTTGATTCCATTCAGTTTTTGAGAAGTTTTTAATATTTTAGAATTCATATTTATTTCAAGTATTTAAAATTCAATTTTGCATAAAGTGTGAAACATACTTCCTATTTACCAAATTTATATGCTTAACTTCTTTTTCATTAATTCCAACTTCACTCTAACCCTGTATTATTTCTTTTTTTTTTTAATATTTATTTTTTAGTTCTCGGCGGACACAACATCTTTATTTTTTTTTATTTTTTATGTGGTGCTGAGGATCGAACCCAGCACCCCACGCATGCCAGGCAAGCACGCTACCGCTTGAGCCACATCCCCAGCCCCTAACCCTGTATTATTTCTTATTTGAAAAATTATTCTACAAATTATTTTAAAATTAATTCTCTGTAATTTTAGTAACCTATGTGGAAAAAATCAATATTAATATTTTTTTTGTTTTGCGGTGTTGGGGATAAAACAATTTTAATCCATGGTAGAATATTCTATGAGGGAAAGGAATAACAAGAGGACCCATTTCTGAATAACAGAGTTATAAGCTGCAAAATCAAGGAGTGATAGACACTAGGACTCTAAGGGAAGTAAATCATGAGTTCCTTATGGAGACACAGGACACAGCATTGCTATAGGAGAAAAAAAAAATCCTGATGTTGATTCAGGGATCTTAGGAAATAAGCCTGTAGAACAATTTTAGCTGATTCAACCTCATATTTTATTTCATTAATGTTTTCCGTCATTATTAATAAATTACTTACAAATTCAAACTTGACCTAGATTATCCATCAATGAGAAACACTGACGTAGCCACCATTTGAAATTCTTTAACAGGGCTGACTTGGTATTTAGGACAAGATAGAACCCTCTCAGCACACTGCACACACAATTGTGTCACTTACCAACAGACTGTTGGGATAATCCAAGCCAGACTCTCATGGTGATGTTATTATTTTCCCTCATCAATGTGCTCACAAATTTATTCTCATTTTCATCCTCTATGGTGACAATAGTTGCAGAATGATCTGTTGAAAGAAAACAAATTGTACCTAATTAGCTCTATGAAAACTGGCAAGTCATTTATTCTAAACCAGCCATCTGAACAAAATATCTAGGATGAACAATGTCACTGAAAAATTCAAGCTTTACACAGAGACTGTTTTAAAAATCGGTACTTATGTCAAAATTTAAAAGTATTTCCAAAAATAACAGAAACATTTCTACATTGAAATTTACATGCATAAATCTCATATATGTTCAAAATATTTATCTGGCAATATTTTAAAATCTTAGAACTGCCTAAGAAAAATCTTTGTGTTTGGACAGGAGTCATAATAACTGGTAGAAATATGTGTCACCCTGTAGATTTTTTATCACTCTTTCCTCAACGAGCATTTATATTAGTTTTAAATTTTCTTCTTCTAAAATGGAATTAAACACAAATAGGTTTGGGATACTGGGGAACATTGTCCTTCTGTTAATATCACATATAAATGTACTTTATCACACTTCTTGTAAGTTCCTAAAAATAGCATGGAATTGAATGAATGAATATTCTTCAAGTTTGATAGGTACCCTAAACCTACAAAAGAGATTCTGGTTATCACTAGCATCAGGTAAGGAACAGAAATAAGTAATAGCTACTCTTGGAACTCAGCCCCAAATTAAATCAAAGAGTCTTCAACAGCAACAAGCCTATCTGCACTTGAGCTAAAGTATTTCTTTTGTAATGGGGAATATTGTAAGAGCGGACAAAGGAAAGGCTTCATCCCTTTATCAATCACTACAATGTGCAGGTGCCTTATATGTTACTTTGTTTAATATATAACCCGATAGACCATGCTGGAAGGTATTATCACTATTTTACTGACAAGGAAACTGAGACTCAAGGAAATTGAATTGTTAAGGTTTACATAGCTAGCTAGTTATAGAATTAGAAAGTCCATCTTAATCTTTTAATAATAAGAATAGTGTGAGAGAGTTCACTATTTGCAGGGCACTGTGCTACCTTTGCATACATGATCTCCCTCCACACATCCCTACAGCCCAAACTACACCAACCTTTGAAGTAAGTACTATTTTCATTCTCACTGTTTGGGTGTGAAAAGCGAAATACTTGTATAACTTCCACTAAGTTAGTGGAAGTGTGTGGGAGGTGGGATTTGAACCCAGTCAATTTCAAAAGCTTAAATGCTTAATCCTCACACTCTGTTTACATTAAATTTTTTCTATTTTCTCCCATAGGAGGAAGTGGCTTCTGACTTCCAGAGCATATATTCAGCTTATAATAGTTCCCATCATGTATGTACATGGGTAACACACAACAGTTCCCACATAAAAGTTTCCATTATGTAGTTAAGAAGTAACTAGGAGACTTTTTAATTAACCAGGTGTCTTCATAAGAGTTAGCAAATAAATTAGCTAAATGTAATTTGCCTGGCTAAATTGCTACCCAAGGATACAGATAAATAATTTCTATCTTTGAAATATTCTAGGTGGTTGCCCTAAAAGTCATTTTACATATTAACTTTAGGCTAAATTTATTCTGAGAGGGAGACAATCATTGCTGCTCTTTCTAAAATATCTAAACCTGAGGACAAAAGTCCTATCACGGTGCTCTAAGGATGTGTGGTGATCCTATTCAGAATGATGGACATCATACGCTTTGTTTTTGTTATCCTGGCCAGGCTAAGCTTACTTAATTAGTAAATAAGTAATAGATGATCTGTAATTTTTTATTTACTACTTAGTCAACTTTTTGAAAAAATTTGCTTCTTACCCCTTTTATTTAAGCATAGCTAGTTATATTAAAAACTATCCTATTGTCATAATTTTTCTTAATAGTTTACTTAGCTTGTTTTTGTTGTTGTTTTGTTTTGTACTAGAGTTTGAACCCAGGGGTGCTTAACCACTACACTACATTCCCAGCCCCTTTTTAAAAATTTTAAATTTAAGATAGGGTCTCACTAAGTTGCTTAGAGCCTCAGTAAGTTGCTGAGGCTGGCTTTGAACTTGCAATCTTCCTTCCTCCGTCTCCTGAGCTATTGGGATTACAGGTGTGCATTACCCACCCCTTTAAAAATTTTATTTTGGAGGCAAGGTCTTCTTGATAAGTTGCTGAGACTGGCCTCAAACTTGTAATCCTCCTGCCTCTGCCTCCACATCATTAGGACTACACATGTGCACCACTGTGTGTGTGTGGATCACCTAGAATTTTTTATTTACTTCTTCTACTTTTATGTTCTATGTACTTATATTTACATTGATAATTAAAATTTTTTTCGGATTTCCTTTATTCAGTTTTTTTTTTTGCCATTGAAATACACATTAAGAAATGATATGCTAACTGGAGTTCTAGCTCTTAGTTCGTATGAGATAAGAACCATAACCGAGGGGTGAAGGAAGCTGAGGTCCCTAAGGAAGGTGGAACAAAACCACTGTTCAAGCCCTGGACTGATTCTGGACTTCTACATATAAGAGAACTAAACTCTTAACTAGTTCAATCCACTATTAATTTTCAGCCAAATATAGATGTTGTTTCCCATCCTATAACAGAAATGTCATTTGAAATACAATAATACAATACAATACAATACAATAATGGGACCAAACTGATTTCCCATATATTACTAAAAAGTTGTAAGTTTGAGGTCTCTTCTTGTGGAATACCAATCCATTAAAGATGGAAGTCACATTTTAAGAAGACATTTGCATTTTGTATATAACATACATAAAGATACATACTAATGTTATAAAATTTGTAGAATGTTTATGTAATACCAATTTAAAGATTCTGTTTAGAGAATATATTCTTATTTGCATGTGAAAATACGTTACGGAAGAGGAGATTCCTGGTTACCATGATATCTTACACTGATAATTTTTAATGACTATTCCAAAATTGCATTGAGCTCTTACATCATAAAATACTTAGCCATGTCTCCACCCACTAAGCAAGTAGTTTATAATACCATTATAAAATGGTGGATACTTTAAAAATATTATCTAAATAAAATCATTATTTCAAATTATTTCCTTAAGAAAAATTTCTAAGAATGAAATTATTGAGTCAAAGAAAATCAATGAAGTTTAACTCACCAAGTTCTGAACACAATTGCTTGGCTTCTGAAAAACTGTGCAATGCCTGGTCAGCCATGTAACAGTGATCCCTGTACTGGATCCACTGTGACCCGTTCTCTTTTGTTGTTGGACATCTTGAGGAGTATGGATGAGGGGACTGCTCTTTAGCTGTAAAAATATTAGACATAGCAGTAATAAGGCATAGAGAAAACACTGCCTTTGCAAACCTAATTAAATGTCATTATTTAAAACTATTGCTTTGGTGGTAAGAAGCATCTATCTTAATATGAAACAGCATAATCTATGAATACACATACTACTTAGCTTTTTATGATAATATGTTTAAAACCTGGACAATAAAGGAGAAAAATACTCAGCAAATAAGACGATTTTAGACTGAAGTAAAAACGACTAGAAAGGCAGACTGGGAAAAGAAACAAATACAGGTGGGGAAGCTTGAAACTACTCTGAAAAAATATCTAAAATTCTTCCTTTCATTTTTTAGTTGTAGGTGGACATACTGCATCTAATTATTTATTTTTATGTGGTGCTGAGGATGGAACCCAGTGCTTCACATTTGCTAGGCAAGTGCTCTGCCATGAGCCACAACTCCAGCCCCCTTGAATTCTTTTTAATTTTGATAATATAAGCCCTATGTTTGCCTAGACACACATAAAAACTATCTTTAGGAGTCATACTCCACAAGTAAAAACTTGGTAATTTGGTTTACAAATATATCAGCACAGTAAAATCTCTCTCAAGCCAAAAGAGTAGGTATGTCTTAAAATTCCCTTCAATTCCACTTAAAGTGTTTGATTTTTAATTGTGCTAAGTAATGCAAGAAACCTATGCAATGAAGCTGGGCTTTATTGTCCATTATCAACTCCAGTAGAGGAGCATACAAGAAGTAAAAAGTAAATTGCCAACATCCCATTGGTGGGGTACTGATTATCTGAGTCAAGTAAGCGCCTGGTTTCAGTCAGTAATCTTCTGACAACTCCTCATTAATACCGGTGGTTCAAAGAGATATTACTAGTAAGTTCTTTCTTCTGCTACTTTGTGAAAATAGTTGGTTTTCCAAAGGAATATTATGGATTACTCCATTGTCACACTGGCTTAGCTGCCTGTTGGTTCATTTGATCCAAAGCATGTGGAACCACTGGATACCTTGGGATCACTAGGACTGGTGGACTTTTCTACTTTTTTTTTTTTTTTTAATTTCCTCTCATACTGAGAACACATGTAGATAACTTATCTTCAAAGTCTATTTGTTTCTAGTATTGTCTGAAACTGGGCTGCCTTGGGTTATATACATTGTTTTTGCTTCCTGTTCTTCATGAAGTTTTGTTTCCTATTCTTGAATTCTTTTTCAAAGAGAGGTCTGCATTGTGTTAAGTTTGTAATGTTCTTTTTGGTGTTTGATTCTGTGGATCTAACCTGAACCTTGTGAATGCTAGGCAAGCCACTGAGCTCAGCCCCTGCTATATTTCTGTTCAACAAGATACAAGTGGTTTTTTATTTTTTAAGTTGTGGTAAAATATAGACAACATATAATTTATTATCTTAACAATTTTAAAACGTACAGTTCAGAGATATTATGTACATTCACATTTTTTTGGCAACCATCAACTCTACCCATATCTAGAAATTTTTCATCTTGCAAAACTCAAACTCTGTACCCATAAACAATAGTTCCCCAAATTCCATCCTCTCTACATCCTGATAATCACCATTCTACTTTCTGTGAATTTAAGAACTCCAGGTAGCTCATGTAAGTAGAATAATACAATATTTGTCCTTTTATGACCAGCTGATTTCATTTAATATATGGTTTTCAAGGTTCAGCTATGTTGTAGCATGTGTAAAAATTTTCAAGGCTGAATAACATTCCTATGTGTGTATGTGTGTATGAGCATCATGCTTTGCTTATCCACTGATGAATGGATGCACTAATGGACAATTGGTGGCTGCCATCTTTTGGTTATTATGAATTATGTTGCTATGATCATGGTTATATAAATACCTATTAGAGTCCCTGTTATTATTCTTATTGAGTGTATATTCAAAAGTGGAATTGCTGGATCATATGGTAATCTTTAAGTTTTGAGGAACTGCCATATCATTATGTGCAGTGGCTACGCCATTTTATATTCCTACTGATGATGCATAAAGTTTCCATTTTTTTCCCCATCTTTATTAATGTGTTACTTTCTGGGTTTTTGAAAATCTATTCTTTAAAGTTGGCTCTTGTATTAGTTTCCTAGGTTTGCTATACTAAATTGCCATACGCTTTGAGGTTTAACGCAACAGAGGTTTATTCACTCATGGTTATGGAGGCTAGAAGTCTGAAATGGAGATGGTATTTGGGCTGTTCTTTGTGGAGGCTCTGTGGGAAAATCTGTTTTGTGCTATCTTTTGGTGGTTGCTGACAATCCTTGGCTTGCGGCTCTGTCACTGTTATCACTGTCTCTGTCCTCACATGGCTTCTTCACTGTGTGTCTGTGTTGTCCCTTATTACAGTGGGCCCAAATCCACCAGCCAAAGGATTTAGGGCCCACTGTAATCCAGTATGACCTCATTCCAACAGGCTACATTTACAAAGACTATTTCTTGAGGATCACGTTCTGAAATTCTGAGTAGACAGGAATTTGGTGTGGGTTACTATCCAATCCAGAACAGCACAGAACTCTTGTTTGATCATGCTATCATTCTCCTTCATCTTGTAAAGTCTATTTCTCCGAGAGAAATTTCTCTATGCTTTATCATGTTTCTCATGTGTTCCAATTGTTTTTCTCAAAAAATATCCATTTATTTTCTGTGTCTTAACAAATGAGAGGTCAGTTCTTGATTGTATCTTTAAAGGAGTATCTCAGCCTTTAAACAACAATGCTATGTGAAACTAGAATTCACAGATTCTAGAATAAAATTTTTCTAGTAAAAATTTCTGAAAATCTTTGCAGACAAATTCCCCGGGGAGAAATATAATATTCATTTTCATCCACAAAGTATCGATATATTTTTTGTAGAATTTGTGGATAAGCCTTATTTAAAATCTATGAATATTTTCTGTGAGTAATTATGTACATAAATTATGCCATATTTTAGTAAAACAGCTATTAATAATAGAATCTTACCTTTTGTAGGTTTATAGCAAATAGCACCATCCTTAACAGAGTTGCATTTTTCATGTTTCCAAATTCCTTTTGGATCCAAGATCAAACAATTTCCAGGAGATTTTTGGCCTTTCCATGGGATGTAGTCAAGTGCACTGCCATCAGACCATTCAAAACCTGATTCACTTCCCTGTTTTAAGAATAATGGAGACAATCTAAGCTTAGATGTATGCCTTCAAATATGACATAAAGAACAATATACATACTTAAAAAAGTATTAGAATGGAATGCTAATTATTTACTCACAAATATCACAGTTCCAGATATATACTATAGATCTGGACATATTAGATCTATATAATCAGAAATTTACTTTTGATGCAGTGATTTAGGACTTTTGCTCTGGCATTATTTAGGTAAGAATTTAAATTTATGGATTTATTTTTTTTTAAAGGATGAGTTTTACATAACACTTGAAATTAAATGACATGCAGTATCTTCCACTTATCATAATTACATATTTATATTCCCAGTCTTCATATTGCTCTAAATATTGTTTTTGTGTGTGTTTTATGGGTTTGTGGTTTGTGTCTGGCTACAATTTCCACATCAAACAGCAGGGCTAGAAAAGGAAAATACTTCCCAAGAAAATCAAAATGGGAAAACTACATTAATTAATAAAATTAAAACAGTGGCACTGATACATTTATCAGCAGAACATTAATCTTAAGTGGTGCTAATTTCTAGCAGAAAAGTGGGAAGAAAGTGTTCATATAAGTCCTACCTGTGTTGAGAAATTTACCTGGCAATTTACATAAATTCTTGTGTTAACATCTCAATGAAAATATTATTACCCTGATTTTACATATGAGGAAATTGGGTTACAATGGCTAAATAAGATGCTCATGATCAACTAGTAGAAAGGGGAGACAGTTATTAGTATTGAAATTCAGATTTTTCTGCTTTTACTTCCTTTTCGCCAGCTTTGCAACTGGTCAGCCCCAAAGAGGCTACAGAGGTACTGTTCAGAAATGGATCCCTGGGTGCTTGGGATGGCGGCCATTTACCCCAGTGCATTCTACAAATATAATTTTTTACTTGTTCCATGATGGGGTTCTAGGACTTAATCTGATATTGTGCTTTGAGTTAATATCTAATGTCAAGTTTCCAACCTTCAAAGTAACAGATTTGATAAACAAATCAAGACTTACATCATGACTTGAGAGCCCAACCCACAGTGGAAATCCATCACGTTTTACAATATCTTCCAAAAAGACCTGGCCATTTTCATTGTGAACACTTGCCAAATGACCTCCACTTTGAGAACACGTCTTTAATGCTTCATACCATGTTAGCTTTTTCTGAACAACATTATAAATACCATCTTCATATGGAATAAGCTGTGGCAGTGTAGTATTATGTTCTTCTTTGTAGTCAACTGGAACATTTAAAATAAGTGTTAGTAATTAAATTTAAATTATTTCAAATACACATTTTGGATAAAATGACATGCAACCATTTAAAAATTAAACTGATTTCATTATAGATAAGGGTAGTCAAAAGCATACTTTATTTTTCTATTGCCACAGAACATATAATAGACTCTTACATATTATAGTTGTCTGGTTGATTTTTTTTAAAGGCATAAACATCGTCTTTATTTAAGAAGCTCATGTAATATTTGGAGACAGAAAACAGCAATACCTGAAATTATGACAAAACTGCTAACCACTAGGATATGTGAGACTGACTGCGAAGGAGAGATTTATCTGTATTCATGCCTGCTTGGAAAACCAGGTCTGGAAATTCAGGGGAAATTAAGACTAAAGAGAAATAAGTTATCCAGAAAGTAAGGAAGCATTGAAAAAACAAAACCCCACAATGAGGAGGCTATTTCAAAGGGACACTGCAGCCAGAGGAAAGAGCAAACAACCAGGAGTGTACCCTAGGACTAGAAGGTGAGGCAAAAGTAAGAATAAAAAGAAGTATGACAACAAGGGAGTACTAAAAACAAATTTTCAGAAGTAAATGAGGCATAAATAAATGTAAATATATAAATAAAATATATAAAACACAAAATTAAAAAATAAAATATGTATAAATAAATGACCAAATTTTAAACAGAAGAAGACAGATCTCTTATGCAGAATTCCAAGTAATTCATATAGATACTCCCTCCTCAGGAAGGTAGAGGATAACAGTCTATCCCATATGTGTGGACTGCGCACAGTAACTCCTTTACAAAGAGTACAGCGTGGAGAGGGGGAAAGGTTACTGCACAGTAGAGAAATCTAATAAACACTACCTTGGGCCAAGCTATCAAGGTTACAATCTACAGTGATAAGACATATTGCTTGTACCACTCATGCCATGATGAAAACAGCACCTTACATCTGAGGTCCCCTACTAACTCAAAGCTCCAGTTTAATCATGAGAAAAACATCAGCCAAACCAACTAAAGGATCTTCTACAAAACACACCACCAGTGCTCCTGAAAACCGTCAAGGTCGTCAAAAACAACAAAAGTCTGAGGAAACATCACCGCCAAGGGGAGGCTAAAGGGATGTGATGGCTGAATGCAATGTGCCATCCTGGATAGAATCCTCAACAGAAAAAGGCATTTGGTAAAAACTAAGGAAATAATGTAGAGACTTTAGCTAATAACAATGTATTAATACTGGCTTATTCATTGTGACAGATATGCCATGCTAATGTCATCAGGGGTGAGTAGTTGTGATTATATATTGTGCAGCTTTTCATAAAGCTATTCTAAAATGAAAACTTTATTAAAAATGAAAAAAGAGAAGAAAATTAAAAGCTTCTTGGCAGGAAGAAAAAATAAATAAAGGTACAAATATGATGCTAAATGTACTCTACACAGGGAGACAATTAAAGAAGTCCAGCCTGAGGAAAAAAATGCTTAAGGAGCAAGAATGGGAAGCAGATGGGGGCTGGGAGGAGGCCTAGAAATAGGGAAGAGAGGCTGGTGTCTGAGGTCGCAAAAATTTACATGGACTCCCAGTAACTGATAAGAGAGGATGCCAGGATGTTCTTCTGCAGCACTATGAGGGGAGTTGATCAGCCAGGATGCAACTGTGATGTGCTCTGTAACAGCAGAGAGCTGAGAGCAGGTTGAGAGCTCAGAGCAGTCTTCAGCAGTGAAAATTTAAACATGCATTTCAAAATGGGTTTATTTAAGGATTAGGCAAGGTCAAGAGACATTAAATTTTGCCTGGAATGTCAAATCTCTACCCAAACATTCCTTCTTGTTTTCTATTTTTTTCTTTTCCATCCTTTAAGGCCCAACCAAGTGTCACTTCCTCCTGGAGGCATTCCTTGCTTTCGTTATTCCTGTTTTTGTTCAGCTCTTTTGTTTGTACCAAAAAATCTAACACTAACCTACCTATGACAAAGAGGTTAATGATATCGCTCCACCTACATTTTACTCCTTCAGGAGGAGGCCAGGACACCCGGGCCCCAGACTTTCTCCTCCTCTGTAACCTGTGCAGCACCTGTCCTGGGACTGAATGAAGCTCTCAGCACAGGTGCATGATTCCCACCTGTGCAGCTTCGCCTTACACTCTCCTTCCTTGGAATGGAAACTCACCTTTGCATACTTACCCATTTCAATTTTACAAGCAAGAATGCTGTGCTGGTAAAAATTGAGTGTTTCTTCAACAACATTAAAGGTCTGAATATCCCAGAAGCCGTCAGTACTCAACCCAGCCAAAAACTTGCCGTTTTTTACAGTGGGTCTTCCTGCTCGCCAATGTGTATAAGACAGCATGGTCTTATCAAACCACATCAGAGAATTATCTAGAAAGGTATATATTTTTACTATGCTTAGAGATTAAATCAAAACTTACAACAGGGTTAATATTTCAAACAACTGATTTTTCTGTCTCCTTTTCCTGCCTTCTAAAAGGTTGGATGATTATGTATATTTCTTTAAAATAGTTTCTGATTATAACAGTAAATCATGCTTATTTCTAATTTGGAAAACATAAATTATAAATATTAAGATCAAAATTTACCTATAATTCCATCCTTCAATAACTTAATGTTTTATTATTTTTTGTGAAATATCCTTTTCTCTGACATGTATTTAATTGCAATGGAAATTAACAACTATTTTATAAAAAATATGGATATATTACAAAATTATGACAGAAATATTCTCTCTGGACATAAGCTCTACAGAATTATGCCTACTCATGGTTAATGGATTTAAAGAAAGATAAGACAATTCAATGTGGAAACTATAGTTTTCTCAAAAAAATGATGGATATCCACATGCAAAAACTAATGAAGTTGTATCCCATGCTGTCACCACATACAAAATTAACTCAAAGGGATGGGGATATAGCTCAGTTGGTAGAGTTCTTGCTTCATATGCACAAGGCCTGGATTCAATCCCTAGCAACACACACACACACACACACACACACACACACACACACACACACACAAAATTAACTCAAAATAGGCTACAGACCTAAATGTAAGAGCTAAAACTATCAAACCTTTATAATAAAACACAGAAATAAGTCTTCATGACCCTAGAATATGCAAAGCCTTCTTAGACATGCACAAGTAGTGAAGGGAAAAATATATAAATCAAAACAAAAAAGTTCTGTGCTATCAGGAAAGTGATGGGAGAAAATATTGGCATATCATTTATCTAACAGGGGGTTTATATATTTTATTAGGAATTATGTACCTGAGGTGTAAATCAAGAGAAAATAGAAACATGTACACACAAAAACTTACACATGAATGTTCAGAGAAGCATTATTCCTAATAACCAAAAATGTAAAAACAACCTGACTATCCACCAGCTAATGAATGGAAATAAAATATGGTATACCTATAGAATGGGACATTATTTGGCCACAGAAAGGAAAGACATATTGATACATGCTACAATATGGATGAACTTTGAAAGCTTGATGCTAAAGTGAAAGAAGCCAGTCCCCCAAATATCACATATTGTATGACACCATTTATATGAATTGTCTAGAATAGGCAATTTGTAGAGACCAACAGTAGACTGGTAGTTGCTGAAGTCCTGAGACTGATAAGGAATGGGGAGGGGCAGGAAGAGAATACTAATGGGTAAGGTGTTTCTTTTTGAGACAGTGATGGCTGCACAACTCTGTGACTGTATTAAAAGCCATTAAACTATACACTGTAAGTGGCTGGATTATATGGTACAGGCATGTCTCAATAAACAGTTCAAAAAATAAAGATGCTAAGTTTGTTAAAATTATAGGCTGGAATGAAAAGTGATGCCATCATTATCTACCATACCCACTGCAGTCCTGGTCACTTCTACCTTTCACTGATTAACATCTCCCAGAGCAAGCAATAGACCTAAGCATTGGTCTGCACCAAGAACTCACACCCCAAGGCTGTGCGTATGACTTGGTTCTTACTTGTTGCTTTATAACACCTTAGTTCCCCAGTTCCTTTTTCTTTTTTTGGATCTTCAAAAGTTACCAGTTTTCTAAACAATACAACAGGCAGTGATATATTTCTAAAGTTGCCGTGAGGAAAGGTCACTTTTTCACCTAGCCGGTAGTATCTCTCAGCTGCCATATTGACTCAGTAATTCCTATTCAAGGCCCCACTGTTGAAAAATCAGAAAGTTTTAAAAACCAAAGCCCTTTTATAAGTGCTATATATAATTAAATATTCTGTAAGTATTCTAAAGTAACTAAAAACAGTGACTTATGGATATTAATTAAGTCAGGAAAAATTAAATTTAAACCAAATTTAGTGTTTGGAAAAAATCCTTCTATGTCTCTTCATATGTCTATATATTTTAGTAAAATTTTTGTTACCTATACATTTCATAAAAGTTTAGATAACCTGAAGTCTTTGGATATGAAAATGCTTTTTTTTAAAGTGCTTTATGTGTTTTTTTATTGATTTTTTAAAAAATAAATTACAGTGGAATGCATTACAATTCTTATTACACATATACAGCACAATTTTTCATCTTTGGTTGTATATAAAGTATGCTGACACCAATTCGTGTCTTCATACATGTACTTTGGATAATGATGTCCATCACATTCCACCATCTTTTACAGAACTTAGAATATGTTTCCTGTTGTTTCTGATGATATAACTACAAATGACATCTGAGTACACAATTTCAATCTCTGAATCCTGGGTTTGCTTTCTAATGCTCAATACAACACCGTTGTTTCTTCAGTCACTTTCAGGCAAAGTCTATTCTATCATGTTTTTCTCCATTTTTTTCTTACCCCTAAATTTAAATGTATTCACGTGTTATTAAAGAAAAGCACTGGGCCAATTAAGTCCTACTATGATGAACTAATTCATCCTCAACTAGCAGCCCAAGGCTTACATATTGCTTCACAGTTTAATCTTCATTAACTCACTTGTAAGAATAAACATTTAAAGAAAATGGTGGCAACCCTAAAAAGCAGTTAGGTTAGCAAAGAAAAAAGCATACATTTTTTTAAAATGGTCAGATTTAGGCTGGGGTTGTGGCTCAGGGCACTCGCCTGCACATGTGAGGCACTGGGTTCGATCCTCAGCACCACGTATAAAAAATAAGCAAATATAAATAAAGGCATGCTGTCCATCTACAACTATAAAAAAAAAAGTAGATTTGAATAACTTAGCCTCCTTTTCTACCCTACTTCTGGCTTCTTGTCCTGTGCCCCCTTCTAGGTGAAATGTATGTTTTTCATACTTTGTGCCCACAGAAAGATTTTCTTTTGTGTAACTTCATAACTTTCATGGTTTCCAGTATACCTCTGAGTAACTTTCTAAATTGGTCCTGTGTCCTCTATATTAGATGCAGTGTTTTTAAAAATTTCTCATCAATTAAATTTTGGATTAGTGGTGTTTAGTCCTATTTTTAAATATTCTATTCCACTGTAAGACCAGGGATGTTGTTTTCCTGTTGCTTATTACCTATGCCTACCCCAAGCCAGTGCTATAAACCCAAAGGTGAAACATTAATAAAAGTGTGATTCTGTTGTCATTCATTCCACATAGTTAGTTGAGATATAAAGTAAGTACTAGAGATTTATATGTGAGTGTGGTCATTTTTAGTTAGTCTTGAGTTTCCAAAAGGAAGAGTGGAGGACAGAAATTTTTTTCCAGTATTTAACTCTTAGCTTGGTGGTAAAGGTATAACAATGGCATTAGCAGAGACATAAAAACTGTCTTTGTATGTGTATAAGTTAGATCAAGTACATAGTTATGCTTTTAAAAATTTTTGGCAATACTAGCAATCAAACACAGGGCCTCATACATGTTAAGCAAGGGTTTTACCACAGAGCTATATCCCCAACCCCTGTATAATTATATTTTTTGTATATTGATAAATCACATACTTTGAAGAACTAGACTTCTACAGTTTGACAAGAAGGCTACAATGAAGGGCTAATATAAACAGAGAAAATTGGCAGATTTATAACTTACTTTCATAAGTTATTCCTAACATGACCCATGAAGCCATGTAATTGAAGTATAGAAGTTGTTCAAGAACAAAGTTATTCTCCTTTTCATCTCGAATACTCAACATGTGTGATTGTGAATCTGTTAAATAATAAAGTCGATAATTTTAATAATTAATTATCCAGAACATTTTATTTTGTTTGACAAATTTAGAAAGTTTTATTCCCCAATTTAATATTCTTCAAAACATATGCAATATTGAAAAATTAGAAAGACACAAAACTGAAGCTATCTCATTATACTAAAATGAATAAATTAAATATTCAAACATTTAAATATTAAATGTGGTCCCACAGTGTAGTGGAAAACTAGTATCCAAGTAAAGAATTTTAGACATTGATTCATTTAACTTTCCTTATTTAGAGCTCATCATCCAGGTGGCACAAATCCACCTACATTAATGACATATTATCAAAAGATTACTCTGTAATAAAAAAAAGCCTTTGGCTAGGCATGGTAGTGCACATCTATAATCCCAGCAGCTGGGGAGGCTGGAAGGATCGCAAGTTCAAAGCCAGCCTCAGCAATGGCAAGGCACTAAGCAATTCAGTGGGACCCTGTCTCTAAATAAAATACAAAATAGAACTGGGGATGTGGCTCGGGTGGTTGAGTGCCCCTGAGTTCAATCCTTGGTACCAAAAAAAAAAAAAAAGAAAGAAAGAAAGAAAAAAAAGCCTCTGAAATGGACTGTAAAACAACTTCCTATTAGGGTTAAAAAAAAGTCTAGTTTTTTTAATCTTGGTTTTTTTTTTTTTAGTTGTAGTTGGACATAATACCTTTATTTTATTTGTTTATTTTTTATGTGGTTCTGAGGATTGAACCCAGCGCCTCACACGTGCTAGGCAAACGCTCTACTGCTGAGCCACAATCGCAGCCCCAAAGTCTAGTATTTCTAAAATGTATTTCAGGAAATTAGCAAGGGGTCATCTCAGACAAGATCTACATGGATAAAATATTTGCAAACAGTGGTTTAAACAGAGATAAACTAGTTCATTTATGCCAGTATTAAAATAGGCTCATGACTTGGAGAATGTCAAACAAGAGGTTTTGGAGTCTAGTGTTTATCTGTTTTGTAGGACATCTCTCAAGACTAATGTTACATAGAGAACACTTTGGGGAATAATGGCTTGATATTTTTCAAAGGTACTTCCCACAAAGTTAACAGTTCCAAAAGTTCTGTTGTATAGAAGTCATAAATCTTTAATGGATTTCATAGGAAGTATCTCAAGTCTTGAGAGCTAAAAGTGTAAAATGTACATTTCTTTTAAGCCTGGCTGTTATTCAGTGCTATTTCTAAGCTTTTGACCACTTGAACTAACCTTTTTTTCACTTTTCCCTTTGTCTAGCTTGTTTGACATCCAGTTCTCTGCTCTCTAGTATCATTTCTTTTCCTTAAGATGAACCCATCTTGTTCACACATACAAAGACAGACTAGTTCTCAAATGGATGAACAAAGAAATTAATTTAATACGTGTCATTTGAACCATACACAAAATTTTATATATTGTCATTCATAATGTGGAAATAAGGAGATAAATATTTTTTAAATCAAATTACTAGTGCTAATTAGAAATATTTATAACAGTTTTTTTTTAAATTAGTATGATACAAAATATAATAACAGTATAATATACTTACTCAGTTTCTGGCACTTAGAATGAACTTCATCTTGTGTTGTTGCCATATGTCTATTCTTTGTTATCATAAAATTATAGCAAGAGTTCTGAAATGATATCCACGGAGTATTTAGAACAGGAGATGGACATTTAACACTTTTGACTTGTTTGACCTCTTTTTCAGTGTCATCTAGAAAAAACAGTAAATGATAAGAATTCTAATTTTAGATGTAAATGTTAAACCCTGTTCATAGTCATTAGAACTAATTTGTAAGAAATATTTAGGAAGTCAAGTAGTAATAGCCTGGTGATGCTTGTTTTTCTGTTTATATTCAAATATTATGTATTGAAAATGTCTTTCTGTAGGGAAGAAATTTTCTTTCCCCTATTGTGAAATAGAAGAATGTAAAAAATTAGATGTTTTTAGATTAAATGCAGTTTCTGTCTTCCTGCATTATGAAATATCAAGTACAAGGGGCCACCTCAGAGAATATTAATTAACAAGCACTTCACTATAACTTTAAAAATTCATTTTCATTACTGACATCTCTAATTTAATTAATTATTATTTATTTATTTTTGGTACCAGGGATTAAATCCAGAGGCACTCAACCACTGAGTCACATCCCTAGCCCTTTTTATTTTTTTTATTTTGAGACAGGGTCTTGCTAAGTTGCTGAGGCTGACCTTGAATTTGTGAGCTTCCTGCCTTGGCCTCCCGAGCCACTGGGATTACAGGCATGTGCCACGGTGCCTGGCTATAGGAACAGTTTAATGAAATAGTTGATGTTCTAACTAAGTTATTACTTTAACCAAATCAAACAGAAATATAATTTAAAATATGGCCTCTAGAGAGTCTGCTTTTTTGTTCATTTTATGAAAGGCTGTGCACTTAAGAAGATGTAAATATAGATACGCTCTACTCACAATAAATCAAATTAGTTTAATATGTAGTATAGACCATTCAGTATCTTCCCCACCTCACAATAAATTCTTTTGTCTCTAAAATAGCATGTTCTTTCTATCACAAACCCACAAATGTAGGCCCCTGACAGTCATAAAATCATTTTCCTCTAATTGGTCTAGAGGTTGTATATCTGACTCAGGCTAAATCCATCAGAGTCTAAGAATACAAAAAGTGAAATTCTGAAACATTAACTCATCTCCACTTACATCTATTAAGTAAAAGTTGAAGAGACACCAAACACCACTATATGCAGAGACAAGTAAAAAGTATATAAAGGACCGAGTGCAGATACACAGGGAAAAACAGGTGGAAGGGAACATCTCTGGGTTCCTGACCTCCACTCCCTAGGAGGCTCAGCTCTTTCCCTATTTCTAGGGTTCTAATTTCCCTTTTGCTTTAAGCTATCTTGAGCTTGTCATTGCTACTTGCAATCAACTGAATCTTAACAGTGGATCATAAAAGTTTGTTAGTTGTTGATGTTAAGAATTATGAAAGAATTCCAACAAAAGTAGATTTTCTAAAACAACATGAATTCAAAATATATGCAAAATGAGGCTAAAATGGGACTTTACATGTCAATAAAGTGTTAACTGATATAAAAATGAAGATAAAAATGTCAAATAAAAAACGCGTGATTTTAAAATAATTCTACTTCAATACAAATGCTTGCAACAAAATTTGTTATAAAAAGGACATTATAATTTCTTTATAATTCCAAAATCAAATTTTAAAAAGCCACTCAAGATTTTACTATTGATAAGACCAATAATTTAAGCATTAAAATATTTGAAATCCACATACTTCCTGGGTAGTAGCAAATAGCACCTGGTTGCTTATCATTGCAATCAGCCGTTTTCCAGAATCCATCAGTGTCTAATATTACACAGTCTTCAAGTTGCCTGTTGTTGTCTGCCCAGCGACTAAAATGAAGAGGTTTCCCATCCGACCAACCAAAGTTTAGCTCATCCTAAAAGGAGCAGAAATACATTTCAAATAATAAAACTCATGTTATCCCTTTTGTATTATTTTTACTCTCTATTTTTAAAGGAACATTTTAATGAAAGGAACAGAGATACATGTCACATAACACTTAGTATGTCCCAGGCACTTTTCTAAGTGTTTTAAAAATATCAACTTTCTTAACCCTCATAACAATCATGAAAGAGGTACTATTATTACCTCTATTTTACAGATGAGGGGAACTGAGGGTATGTAATGTGTGCAAAGTCATAGTGCTGGGATTCTAATCCAGGCTGCCAGTCCTTAAAATCTATGGTTCTCACCATGACACTCTGCTGCCTCACATATCATCGGAACTATTGGTTGTTGGAAACTGGAAAGTTAAAATGGAGTGAGAACTGCTGTAAGCAAGGATGAAAAGGTGCAGTGGGAAGAATGGCTTTGGAGCTAAGCATATCTGGTTTTGAATTCAGTTTGGTTATACTTACTAGCTTTTGATTTGTGAGCCTATCTCTCCAAATTTCCATCTTCTCATCTATTAAATAGTATGACAGTTTCATGGGGCTAGAATTAATGGGATAATTTAATTTCGGTTAGGTATAGAATATGTAACCCAATGATTAGCTGGACCACATAAATATTAGTTCCCTTTCTCTCTTTTTTTAAAAAAAATTTTTTTTGGGCTGGGGATGTGGCTCAAGCGGTAGCGCACTCGCCTGGCATGCGTGCGGCCCGGGTTCGATCCTCAGCGCCACATACAAGCAAAGATGTTCTGTCCACCGAAAACTAGAAAATGAATATTAAAAATTCTCTCTCTCTTTAAAGAAAAAAATTTCTTAGTTGTTAATGGTCCTTTATTTTATTTATTTACATGCAATGCTGAGAATCGAACCCAGTGCCTTACACATGCTAGGCAAGCATACTACCACTGAGCAACAACTCCAGTCCAGTTCCTTTTCTCTTAACTCCTTAGGCCTTGTAAATTTCTCACTACTGTTTGACACTTGTTTTTAAGGCAGTTTCCTCCTTTATCTAGTCTGGGGTGGATAAGAAGCCTGGGGACACCTGTCTGTACATCCTGACAGGGGCCTCATCACCCACCTATCTTGAGAAAGGATTTACAGAGTAGAAGTCCAGGGCATGGGTTGTGGGGTACAGGACCGTCTGAGGTTCTCCATGGTGCCACTAGGGCACTGGGCCTTATCTAACCAATGCTGATCTGGTCCAACACTGAATCAAGCTTTCCTGAGCCCATATGCCTTGCTAGACATAGGCTCCTTAGTGAACCATAAACAGCAAACACAGTCAAGCCTTAGCACCACCAGCTGCTTTGTTCTAAACTATTCTTGACTAGAGGTCCAACTGTAACCATAGCAACCAATTCATAAGCCCCCAAGGCCTCAATGTGGCCTTTGGGGTGTGATTTTGCTAAACAGTCTTACCCACACTGCCTTGCCCTCTTTCTCCTGCACTGTACCTCCCTCAGTTCCTGGCCCTAGGCTTTGGAACCTCCATTCCTTCCTAGTAAATCATCCCATTCTCAGTCTCCTTACTGAAAATAAGATCTCTTAATTAAAGTGATAAATATTTCCTTACTGAATTCTTGGCCTTAATTGATCTTAATCCAAACCTGGCTTTTCCAAGGGAATAACCTTTCAACACCCACAAGGGAAGGCTGTTTGTTCTTCCATTCTTAGAAATGGAAGGGCCATGAGAAAGGGGTAGTAGGTATTTTTACCTCCTTTGATCACTTCCTATAAGGGTTATTCTCTTCTTATTCACTGAAAACTCCCAATATTCTTGCCTCTGGCTGACATTCTCTGTAGATGTGGATCCCAGTTCCTTCCTGACATTCCCTAAGATGGCCTGTGTCTTACTCTGTTCTTCTGGCCCAGCTAACAACTTAGGGATGTTGTTACCCAGAACTGCTACACTTCTAACACTGTAAACAAGCCTTGGTCAGAGGAACACCATATCCTGAATGAATTCATATGAAAATAGTTATTCTTCCCATCTTCATACTGCTCACTCCCTCCTCCACCCTTCACCCAGTGTCATTTTACTTCAGTAAAAAGTCTTCCAATATCTTTCCATTGCTCTCAAACTAAAGTATTATTTATTAATATCCTAAGAAATACTCTTTAAGATTTAGGGAAGGTTATGAAGATATATAATATACAAGCTAGCTACACAGGATATATTAAAATCAAGGGGAAATTAAGGAAAAACATATATCCATCAAATTTACTGGAGTCAGATTTAAAAACCTCTGTTTTTTTTTTTCAGTCTACAAGAAATGCAATGCACAATAAAAATGTCACATCTGTCATCCAATCCTTGCGGTTGGAACTAAAAACTTACGTCTTGACTGAAGAGTCCAATCCAGAAGGAAGAGTTCCAAAGGACTGCCTGCACAGCGAGGAATGCCTGTTGGTAGGCATCGGTGATGCTCACCAGGTGCATGTTCTCCCTCAGGCACTCCTTTTGGGCGTCGAGCCACGTCAGTGTCTTTGGGATTATTTTGTATAGGTTATTAAGATACTTTACAGTTTTTGAGGTGTTCTGCAAGGGCTGTCTGTCTTCAGTGTCTGTAAAAGAAAACAATAATAACAACCATCCCACACATGCACTGCAAGACATGGGACAAGTTTTCAAATGTTTCCCTGACTAATCTGCTTTAGGTATTTCTTGATTATTTGCTTGTTTTAAATTTTGGGGTAAGAAAATTAGATATGTTTTGCTATGTACCTTAGGCAAAATGTCTGACCTGCAACATTTGGTTTCTAAAATCAGAACGAGATTTTGTTTAGTTGTTCTAAAAGTAGTCGGCAATAAGATTACCATTTTAGTTTGGTGCCAAATACTTCCTTTGTCTGAACTGCTTCACCAGGTAAGGTATTAAAAGTGTCCCCTTACAAAGTACCCTTATAAAGTACCCTGAAACAATGCACAAAGCCACTTACAAGAGGAGATATTTGAATTCCTGCTTTATAGTATTTATCTGAATAAGGCAGTGACTAAAAAGCGTGGGACAAATGTGTAAAGATCAATTTAGGAAAAAAAACTGCCGAAGTACAAGAAATATACTTAAGGTTCTCATTGTGTAACAATTTTTTGTTGTTGTTGTTCTTAAGTACTTGTTAAAAACTCTCTATGGTCAATGAAAAGCAATGTAATATCTTTTTCAAATTATGGATAATTTCTGTTTTTAAGTACCCATTTTATTTGTGTTTGGGTTATGAAGTCATAGTGATCCATTTATAGTGCTTTGTAACTTTAAAATTGGTGCTGAATTTAACAGTGAATATTTATACAGTACTGAATTACATTTAAAATATTGTTTTTTCTTCTCCTTTCCTCAAGATGAAAGCTAAAATTTGAAAAATATACCAGAGTAGAAAGAACACAATTCACCCATAACTTACACTCAGTAGACAACTACTATTAAAAAATTCCATATTATATTTAATTTTATATTTTATTAAGTATGGGAATGCCACTTGAAAAAAAAATCACATTCCATTTGAGATAATCTACCACAATGAGGCAATGTAATTTACCCATGATTATAAATTCATATGAATTCATTTATAAGATTTTTGTAAAAAAGAACCATATATTTCTAACAGCATAAAGTGCCTTAGTTATCTAGATAACAATTGATACCTGAATATTTCTGACAGAGAGATACAAAGTAGTATTCGCTGCAGGCAGTAAAATTCCACGACCCAGTGAAAGGTGACTTTGGGAGGTTGAGTATCACAGCGCAGTGGTAGTGGGACTCTTCATCAAAGAACTGAACAAAAAGGCAAATATGGACATGGGATTATTAAACTAACAGTCTGAAGATCCCAGTAAGAAAATTCTGGATTCCAAATTGTTTTTGTCCCCCTGTAAAAATATCCCATCAAGGAACTTACTATAAAATTTCTATGAAAACCCTGATTAAACTTTCAAAGTCTAAGAAAAAGAACAATTAATTTGAGAAATTAAAAAACAAAATAGTGGCAATATGGTAAGTATATCTTCCAACAGATAAAGAAAAATTATTAGATATAAAATAAAAATAGCTACAATAATACTTAACATTCTCTCAGTCTTAATAGTTCAAATAGGCAAAAACATGATTAATTAAGTTTATTCAATGTTTCTGAGCTTTTTGTAATGATGAAATCTATACCTCATAATAGAGAATTCACCTTTAAGTTTGGGTCCTATATGAGTCACTGCAAAAATTTCCATATATTAAGATAAAAGTTTACCTAGATTTCATTCTATAATTAATAATTTGAGACATAAAAATTATGCAAAGTATATTGTTCCTATATTTTTTATATATTTGAAACATCACACTTACAAAAATTTTTAAAAGTAACCTTATACCAGGAGCAAGAAATTCTAAAAAAAAAAATGCTACTCCATAAATATTAAACCAAAATTGAAATAAAATAATTATAAGAAAGAATAAAATTTTTAAAAATCCAAAAAAGGAATATGGGCTGAACTTTTTGTGGAGGCAAATGTGTATTATTAAATGATTTTTCTTTTTCTTTTTTTTAAAGGAAAAGCAGACTAAAAATTCAATATAAAAAACTAGAAAATGAACAAAAAAGTAACTCCAGGAAAAGCAGGACAGGAAAATGTGGAAGTAGCATGAATAAACATGGATTGAGCAATAGGCATAAAAAGTGAAAAAGAGAGTAGAGAAAACTAATAACATGCACCTATTTTTCTAAAACCTAAATAAGAAAAAGTAAAATGCATTTAAAATAAAATATGAAGACTTGAAAATACTGTATACCACTTTATTCTAATATGTCTGAAAATCTAAATGAAATAGATACCTTTTTTATATGTATTTTTTTAGTTGTAGTTAGACACAATTCCTTCATTTTGTTTATTTATTTTTTATGTGGTGCTGAGGATTGAACCCAGAGTATTCTACTACTAAGCCACAACCCCAGCCTCCACCATTTTTATTCTTTAATAATTTTTTCACAGTACCTTTATTCTATTTATTTATTTTTATGTGGTGCTGAGGATCGTACCCCATACCTCACACATGCTAGGCAAGTGCTCTACCACTGAGCTACAGCCCCAGCCCAAATAGATACTTGAAAAATACCAATCATAAAGGAAAATAGAAACACCGAACTGTACCAGTAATTTGGGAGAAAATTGGAAATTAACAATAATGGTTATTAGGGGAAAAAAATCCTGATGTGTCTGTCAGGTACTGTGCTAAAACTTTGAAGGAATTATTCTTATGTAATCCTCACAATGAACTTAGGAGGTGGGTTCAATAGAATTGGAACTTGCAGATGGGAAACTGAGGTCCAGGAAAAATTCAAAAACCTTCCAAAGTGCAGTAAGTGGCTGAATTGGAATTAAAACCTAGTAATCTCACTTTGGAGCTGGGCCATCAACTACTGCAACAAACTCCTTTGTTATTAAAGACTGATGTCTTAAAATGATTCTGACATTTTTGTACATAGTTCTTTCAAACTTTCAGGGAAAGATAATACCCCAGTAGTGTCATAATTCCAGAACACAGAAAAGATAGAAAACTACCCGGTTTGTCTTCTGAGGCTCACATGATCAGCATGGCTTAAAAAATTAACTCTATGAACACAGGTGAAAACATTCTCAAAGTTTTTTCAAATCTAATTCAGTTAGAATAGTAAAACTATTCACTCCAAACAACTAGATTTTTTTTAAAGAGAGAGTGAGAGAGGAGAGAGAGAGAATTTTAATATTTCTTTTTTAGTTATGGGTGTATACAACATCTTTGTTGGTATGTGGTGCTGAGGATCGAACCTGGGCCGCACGCATGCCAGGCGAGCGTGCTACCACTTGAGCCACATCCCCAGCCCCCAAACAACTAGATTTTATGCTAAGAACATCACACCTATTAATAGGTTGAAAACTATGATAATTTCAACAGATGATGAAAAGAAACTTTAGAAAATATAATACTTTTTCATGATTAAGAATTTGAAATAAGCTTATAATAGAATTGTATATAAACGTATATATGTATATACGTGTGTGTGTTTGAGGCGCTAGGGATCAAACCCAGGGCCTTGAACATACTAGGCAAGTGCTATACCACCGAGCCTATCAGTCAACATAATATTTTTTTTTTTTTAGAGAGAGAGAGAGAGAGAGAGAGAGAGAGAGAGAGAGAGAGAGAGAATTTTTTAAATATTTATTTTTTAATATTCGGTAGACACAACATCTTTGTTTGTATGTGGTGTTGAGGATTGAACCCGGGCCGCACGCATGCCAGGCAAATGCGCTACCACTTGAGCCACATCTCCAGCCCCTCAACATAATATTTAACAACAAAAGACTGCAGACAGTACTGTTAAGATCAAGATCAAATCCAGGGTGGTGGCTATTACTCCTGTTGTTTTCCAGAGTTGTGGAAGTTTTGGCATATGTGGGGAGGCATGACATGAAAATGAGAGGGGTAAGGATAGAAATTAAGATAATTGTTATTTGGACTGAGGTTGTGGCTCAGGGATTGAGCACTTGCCTCACATGCATGGGACACTGGTTTGATCCTCAGCACCACTAAAAAAAAAAACCCATAAATTAAATTAAGATATTGTGTCCATCCACAATTAAAAAATATATTTTTTTAAAAAAGATAACTGTTATTTGCAGATTATCAAATTAGAAACCCAAGAAAATCTAGTTTAAAAAAAAGTAGAAGAATAAGAGCATTTAGTTAGATGGATACCTATGGAAAAATACAAAAATCCCTAAACAATAGCTTTCCAAATATCAATAGAAAAATCAAGAAAAAAAATCTGCCATTTTTAATGTCAATAAGGAAGTGACAGAACTCCTATTAAACATCACAGAGTAATCTATGGGAAGACTTGAATAAATGGAGAGTATAGTATACCACATTTCTTAATTGGAATATTAATTAAAAATATATCATTTCCCTAAAATGTAGTCAAATTCTCATCAGGAGTTTAATTCTTGTGATTCTAAAGTTTGTCCGGAAGAATGGACACGAATAGCTAAAGACAGTTTTAATGGCATATGTAAAGGAAAACCAATCCTATTATACTTTTTAAAATATGGCAAAATTATAGTACAGTTATATGCTGTATAACACTACTTTGGTCAACCACAAACCACACATATGACAGTGGTCCCATAAGACTGTATCAACTAGTGATGTCATAGCTGTCTTAGTTTGTGTAAGTATACTCTATGATGTTCTCTCAGTGACAAACACCATTCTAAATACAGTCATGTGTTGCTGAAGAAGGGGAGTACACCCTATGAGAAATTCACATTAGGTGATTCTGTCACTGAGCAAACATCATAGAGTGCATTTGCACAAACCCAGTGGTGTATTCTACTATATGCATAACCTATTGCTCCTAGGCTACAAACCTGAACAGCATGTTACTGTACTAAATATTATAGGCAATGGTGACATGAGGGTATATGCATATTTAACCATAGAAGAGGTACAGTAAAAATACTGTTTATATAAAATATTAAAATTATAGAGGGAAATACCATAAATGGAGTTCACAGGACTGGAAATTGGGATAGTCAGTGAGTGAGCAGTGAAGTAAAGGTTGAGAACATGACTGTACACTATTGCAGACCTTATAAACACTGTGCACTTAGGTCACACTAAATTTATAAAAAATTTCTTTCTTCAATAATAAATTAACATTAGCTTCCTATAGTTTTTAAAGTCACATACTTAAATATTTAAAAAATTTTTACTTGTGTGAGTATCATTTAACTTAAAACCCAAACACATTATATAAAATACCTTCTTTCTTTTATCTTTATTCCTTAACCATTTTTCTATTTCTAAACTTTTTTTTTCTTTCTTTCTGTGTTGGAAATGGAACCCAGAACCTCATATATGCCAGGTAAGCACTCAACCACTGAGTCACATCCCCAGGCCCTTTTGTTTCTTAAATTTAATTTTGAGACAGGGTCTCACTAAGTTGCCTAGGCTGGTTTTGAATTTGCAATCCTCCTGCCTTAGACTTCCAAGGGATTATAGGCATGCACCACTGCACCTGGCCATTTGCTATCCTTTCATATTACTGGAAGTGCAGTTGGTTTGTTGGCAACACCATCCACAAAGATGTGAATAGCGTGTTGCTACAATGTTACCATGGCTATAACACACTAGGTAAGAATTTTCCAGCTCCATTATAATCTTTTTTTTTTTTTTTTTTGGCAGAGGCCAGTCGGGAAGTGGTGGGAATTGAACCCAGGGCCTTCCTGCATGCAAGGCAAGCACTCTACCAACTGAGCTATATCCCCACCCCTCCCTCATAATCTTATGGGACCACTGCTACATACATAATCTAATGTTGACTGAAATGTCATTATGTTACACATGACTATAATATCTCATATATACACACTCTTAATATATGATGAAGTAGGCATCCTGTATTGCTTTCAACAAATGGAAGTATATATAAGTGATGTAGAACAAGTGGCTAAGATTAGGAAAAAGGACTAGTATTCACTGACAGTATATGCAATATAATATGTTATAATGTATTATCAGAGAAAAAAGGCAACCTGTAACACAAAACTAGAAGAAAATACAGGTATACATTTAGGTAACACATGATAAACTTTCTAAAGTGGAGGGAAAAAGAAGAAAGAAGACAGATTTGAACATATTCCAAAAAAATTCAAAATGTTCCAGAAATATTTATTCTGATATTCAGACTTAAAAAACAACCTAGGGAAATATTTGTAGTATATGCAAAAAGCACAGGGTGAACCTGAGTTTATAAAATCCAAAAAAATTAAACAGAAATACAGGAAGGTTTTGACAGATAACTTTGCAAAGACTAAGAATATTCACACTTGAAACACAAATTATTAACTAATTTATGAAAGTTTATTTGAAATCAGAGGAATGTCCATGAAAATATGAAATTATTTAAGCTACAAAATTATCAAGAATTTTTAAAGGCTAATGTCATTAGAGGCAATATAGTCAAGTAGCTAAGAACCCTGGTTCTGCAGAATCTTGGACCTGGATTTAAATTTTGCTTCTGCATGCATAGGCTCCATAATCTCTGGCATATAATGACACTCTTTATCTGTTCTCCACATTTTAAAGATGAGATAGAAATAACATACCTATTTTACACCTATTGTGCACAGTAATGAGACAATGTATGTGATGTAGTAGCAGAGTGTCTAGCATATATTAATGGCTCAATACATGTTATATTATTAAAATGCTCATGAGGATAGAAGGGCAGTCAGAATATACTACTAACAGGAATATAAACTCAAACCTTTCTGGAAAGCAACTTGGTAACCAGAACTTTTCCTAAATTTATCTTAATGAAGTAATCTGGATTATAAGTAAAATTTATGCACAAAGATGTTCATTGCAGCACTATTTATGATTATGTAAAATTGGAAACAACCTAATACCTAGCATTGGTTAGGGAAATAGTGGCATAACAAGAAATAATGTTTAAACATTAAAATGCTTATCAAGTTGTTTTTTTTCTTTTTTTCTTTCTTTCTTTCTTTCTTTTTTTTTTTTTTTTTTTTTGTGTGTGTGTGTGTGTGTGTGTTCCACGGATTAAACTCAGGGGCACTCAAACATTAGTCACATTTCCAGCCTTATTTTGTATTTTATTTAGAGAAAGGGTCTCACTGAGTTGTTTAGCACCTCACTGTTGCTGAAGCTGGCTTTGAACTCGAGATCCTCCTATTTCAGCCTCCTGAGCTGCTGTTTTGGGGGCTTCTTTTGGTGCTGGAGATAAAACCCTGGGTCTTGACATTCATTGGTAATGCTCACCACTGAACTGTATTCCCAGCCCTCAAGTTGATCTCTTAATAGCACCTATAATTACTTATTATATAATACTATATGAGGAAAGCTGAGCTCATTAGTATTTATACTGTGATCTCATCTGTGCCAGGGAACCAACATGTAGAAACGATACTGAAATATATATTGTGGTTCTCTAGATCAGGGCTCAAATACAGTAAGTCATTAAGTAGGTCTTGAAATCAAATCAGTGGATTTTGTCTGGCCTTTGTGATAATAAAACAGAACAGGATAGGATAGGATAAGAAAGGAGTGGAATGAAATGGACTAGAAGATAATAGAAGGAAAATATCAGGATGTACAATCTCTCAGGGTGGGTATTATTTCTTGAAACTTGTGTTTTCATTCAGTACTATATCTACATGTATGTCTTGGGTACTGATTTAAATATATTTCTTAACATGGATTATGGCTGAAAGTTTAAAAACCATAAAAACAAAGTTTAAATTTAAGTGGAATCAGGGTTGACTCTGTGTGTGTGTGTGTGTGTGTGTGTGTGTGTGTGTGTGTGTGGTGTGTGTGTGTATTTGCCCTTGTGTAACTTCCACATTTTCTATTATAACCAAGTCTTATTTTGATATTTACTTTGTACACTGTTAGACAAAATTCAGAATTCCCTTTGCTATCAACATCAACCTTAAACAAAGCAGCACTGTGTTAGGAAAATCAATTGATTATTATCCAGGATATATATTTGAAACTGGACGTTCATATTAGGTTCTCAATCTTTGCCCTTTGTGAGAACAACATGGTCTTGACTCAGCCTGTAGGAAGAACAGAAGCAATGGGCAGCAATGTCCTGTTGGTGTAACTACTGTCAACACATTGCCCTCTCTCCTTCCCTTGTTTCCTATGAAAGAGAATGTCATCCAGAAAGTAAGAATATGGCTTCTATACATGCAGTTCTTCACAAAAAAATGATCACCAAATACATCTTTTTCTCTCAGGAATCTGAGGTTGAGAGTTCATATCCCCTAAGTGTTAAGTAAAATATACATATTTACATCTGTTTACAACAGACTCCTAACAAGTTTACATGCTTGTTAATTAAGTACTATGGCATCTGATGCTCTTGTGAAAAACTAGGTTATCCACCTGAGGGCTGGAGTTATGAGATGCTTGTTGTTGTTCTCTTAAGGGCTTTGTTGGGCTATAATTCATACAGGATACAACTCATCCATTTAAAGTGTACACTTAATTGTTTTCAATGTATCCACAGAGTTGTACAACCACCCTGAAATCAATTTTAGAACATTTTTACCACTCTAAAAAGAAGCCCCATACTCTATAGCCATTACCCCCACCTCTTCCATCCTCCTTATCCTCTAGCAACCACTCAGTTAGTCTCTAGCTTTATCAATTTGCCTATTCCATAGGTATAATATGAATGGAATCATACAATAGGTCCTTGTTCTTTTGTGTATGTGCGTATTACTGAGAAGTGAACCCAGGAATGCTTTACCACTAAGCTACATCCTCAGTCCTTTCTTAATTTTTGAGATAGGGTCTTGCTAAGTTGCTAAGGGTCTTACTAAGTTGTTGAGGCTGACCTAGAGTTTGCCATCCTTCTTTCTCAGCCCCCTAAATTGCTGAGATTACAGTGTGCACTACTATGCCCATCTAGGTCCTTGTTTTTAATCCAATAATTTATGAGAGACTCAGGTATTTCACAAAATTGTATACATCATCAATTCAAAAATCTTACATTTGTTGGTATACTCAGCATTCGACCAACCAGCAATGGATGGAAGTTGCTATATGTCAGTTCTCTATCATCTGTCCATTTGTTTATCCTTTCATAGGCATTCCAGCGCAGACCAATCCATAAACTACCTTCCATATCCGGAAGCAATGATGTAATAAAATCTGTTAGAAAGAGATTTTTTTTTTTAAAAAAAGCATTTGATTTATTGAAATTAAAGATAGACCTGTGCTAAAAATATCAATGAATACCTTTTGTTTAACTATCAAGATAATCTTTTATCTGCTCTATAAAAATGTACTTTAATTAAAACAAAATTTTTGGGGGATTCAAGGGATGGAATCCTGGTATGATTGACAACTGAGTCATGTCCCCAGCCTTTTTATTTTTTATTTTAAGGCAGGGCCTTGCTAAAATGTTGAGGCTGGCTTTGAACTTATGATCCTCCTGCTTTAGCCTCCCAAGTCACTGGGATTACAGGCATGAACCACCATAGATGGCTAATAAGATTATTTTTATATATTAATTTCCTACAATATCTTAAAACTTACTTTACTCCCAGATTAGAATAAAACATATTTCTCAAAAAAAATTGCTGGTACCTTGTTCACTCTGGCTCAACACTGAAGGAAGGGTGCCACCATAGGAGTGACAGATATCTCTTGCTTCAGAAAATTTAACAGACTTGGGTTTGATCTTTAGAAAGCACTGCAAACAAAGACACATATGAAGCATAAGATTACAGCCACAAGAAATCTCACATAGTAAGTAAATGCCTCTCTTTTAGAGGGCTGCTGACATTCCGTCTATGTAATATGTAAATTTGCAAAGGAGTACCATAAGGATTCAGGTTCATACTTTCAAAATAAAGAACTAAAGAATGGTCTTCAAACTATCACATTAAAAAAAAAATCTCAAAGGGGGAGATATTCACTTATTCTCTTTTGGTTACCTCATTTGTAAACCATTATGTAGGGTTGTTGTGACTTATAAAGTACTCGATGTTGACTAAATTATATTATTATATTGTGTGAATGTACCAATACATAAAAATGAATCTCACCAATTACATATAATTATAATACGCTAACAAAAATATGGAAAAAAGAAAATAAATCTCATTTCTTTAGTGTTTCCTATGTGCTAAGCAGTTTTTGTAGTTTTGTCCATTTAATGCTTACAACAAATGAGAAAACTGAAGCACAGGAAAGTTAAGTAACTTAACACATAAGTGAAATAGCTAACAAGTGGTAAGGTTAGCATTTAGATTCTGTTCTATCTGATTTCAAAGTCATTACTTCCCTATATCAAGAAACACATTTGAAAAGAAAGCATCTCTTTTTCTCTTGGCAGGATATTTTAATTCAATGTTATATCAACTATGCAAATTAACCTGGTTCTAGTATGTTGGAGAATTAAAGAAATTGTCCTAATTTTTAGCAGTCAGAATACACTGCTACCCTTACTAAAGATGCTTTCAGGTGTCAAATATTTTTTTCTTTTTGACATTATGATCACTGGGTGTGAGTGTTGTGCCCCAAATTGTGCTCCTTGCAACAACATCCTACAAAAAATCATTTTTCAGCTTTCTTATAGACTGGAGTGGCCAACAAAATATAGGCTAAGTCACCCAGTCACTTCTAGAAAAGACCCTAGAGAGAAAATTTGAACTTAAGCATGAAAGCTTATAGTAAGGATGGCAGAGCAAACACAAAGAAGCCTGAATTTGAAGACTTTAGGAGTTTCCACACCAACCCAGCTGGTTTACCTTTAAACATCTTTTATATGAGAAAATAAATGTTTTAACATACTGTAGCAATTTCTTTTTAGTAGCCAAACACATTTCCTAACACATATGTATACCAAAATGGATTATGCATCTCAAAGAGGCAGATATAGAATGCAGCATTTCCCAAACCTTTTTAATCATAAAATTCCCATTTGGAGGCAAAAATCAATGATTAATATTTTGTAGCATATGTGTAGTCTCTGAAGAGTAGTTTGGGAAATGCTGATCTTATTTGATTGTCAGATGCTGCCTGGATGCTCTCCTTGAGGGGGAAAAGAAAACAGCAGCCAGAAATTAAGTCAGTTTCTTATGTGCCATAGAGATAGTCCTGACTAGTCAATGTATTACTAACCATTGACAGATCCACTTTAGCAATTTAAGTGTTGGTAGCATCAGAATAGAAACGCTGCATTTTGAAATACCTGCATGCATGACTAACTTGAGAGTTAACTCTTGATGTCACCCATGGTTTCTGGCATCAGAAAGGATCAGGCAGGATACTGATGCATGCAGAGACGCTTAGTGAAGATGTCTGATGGGTTGGCCTTCCACCATAGGCCATAAACCAGCATGAAAGCAATCACTGTCTGTACAGTGTAGCAATTCTCTTTTTACCTTATTCTGAAAAGGAATCCAATCCCCAGAACACTGAACTTTAGCAGCAGAATCTGGACTATATTTCTCTAATGAAGATACATTGTATTTTTCACAGATGAAAGGCAATTTGGTTGTGCAGTCTGTTGGTTTATTTAAGTCTGAGAAATAAAAAGCAAGATTGCAATGGTGAAAATTTTTCATTCAGCACATTTTAAAAACAAACGTAGTAAACAAAGGCTCTTTTAAATTTTATTTTGTGTTTTTGGTGCTGGGGATTGAACCTGTTCTACCACAGACTGAGTTAAATCCCTAGCTGCAAGAAAGGCTCTTTAAATCAGTCTTTCTCAAACGGTTAAAATATATTCCCTTTCTTCCCTAGCCTTCCATTATCATCCTTCCATTATTATCTGTCTTCCATTATTATTTATATTAGTAGGTTCTAACACACCAATATTGCCAGTAAAAAAAAGAACACAATTGCTATAACTACCACCCCCTTCAAAGAATGATGGCAAGAAACAGGAGGAATTGAAAGGGAAGTTTAATTAGGAGTAAGGCTTATAAACCATATTTTACAACTACTGTCTCTTCACCTTTGTAAGTGTGTCTAAATGCTTATCATTTATGAAAGTAGTAAGTTTATTCATAAGTAAATACTTTAGGATAAAGGAAGTTAGATTATTCACAGTGAAAAGTACCTTTTTGGATTTGGAATTTGGGCAATTGTCATTAACAATATATCAGAATAAGATGAAGCTACCAGATACATAATTGAAATGAAAACAAGATTAAGCTAGCAACTGATCCTGAAGTTGACATATGACATGATCAGCATTAAGGTTTGGACTTAATTTACCCATAAACCAAGTCTTGGCAGACATGTGCAAGCATTCCTCCCCAAATCTCATAGGAAAGTGGTGCCAGGGATGTCTTGAGCTGAAAGTAAATAAGAGATTCAACAACTCATAAGGTAATTAGATATTCCATTCTGGCTTTTTACTCTAAGTTATTTTAATTCTAAATTTAATATTAATGCCATTATTTTATACCACTTTTTTCTTGACATTAATATGAGAAGGGACTTGGCTTCTTTAATCTAGGCAGTTTGTGGATTAATATTCAAAACTACTTATAAATAGCAGTCCATTAGTCAAGGGCAATCTGGGACTGCAGTAAGTGATAAATTCACAAAGGCAGAATCAATGTCACGTACTATATAAAATGACGATCTAGTGGCTGATCACTAGTTCTCACCCACCACTTCTGTTCATCACTTGATATCTGCAAAAAAATAAAAATAAAAAAATAACCACAATCACCTATCCTTAGAGATGCTGAATTTAAGGAAAGTTTTGCTTTAAATATTAATCACAAATAACTTCAATTTCTAGACATTCCATTATTTGGTCTCAAAATGACATGAATCATGACTTTTCACCAAAAAGTAATTTGACAGTCCCTATTTTATATATTCACAGAACCTATCTGGGGTCTTGAAAATAGAGTTGCTGTAATTAGAAGCATACATTAATTGGACTAATACATTAATTGGGCATACAGTGTCTTATTGCAATTAATGATAAATTTTAAAATATACAAATTATTTCTCTCTCTAAAAGTTATTTTATAACTTTATTAATAAGTAGAAACAGAAATTTTAATATAAGTTAACTTCTAATAAAGTAATGAATTGGGATAATTTATACTATCTACCAATGCTCATCTCATAAACTGATATTTATTATAAATTGTGCATATTTTAAAACATTAAGCAATCTCACTTAACTTTTCAAACACTGAACAATGAATATGGATGTTGTGAGGCAAATTTACTTTAGAGGAACATTTAACTTTTGTAGATTTTGGAAGTATTTTTAATGGAATAAATATAATAAGAAATATATTTAAAATGCATTCTTTTAAATTACATTTGCTATTTTGTTTTTGATGGCTTTTAGTCCTGTAAAAGACGTTATAGTAGCAAGAAAGCTGTGATTGCTAGCACAGTACAGGACGGCTTCTTCGTAGTTCAAGTGAGGATCAGCAACAAACCAATATTCACTTCCTTCAATTATAACTGGAGGCCCATGAATTCCAGCACGCTCTAAATAAGAAGATCAGAGTTAGGACCATGCCAACCAAACTGTACCCTGTAAGTATGGGTAAGGGTTAAAACTTTACAAATAGTAACTGTTTTGGTTTGGATGTGTCTCCCACAGGCCCATGTATTAAAGGCTTGGTTCCTAGCCCATGATGCTATTGGGAGGGGTGGAACCTTTTCAGAGGTGGTGCTCAGTTGGAAGTCTTCTGGTCATATGGAGGTGTGCCCTTGGAAGAGATATTAGTACTCTGGAGCCTCCTTTTTCTGTGTTTCCCTTCTCAGCCACCAGGAATAAGCAGTATGCTCCACCAAGGGCTCTCTGCTATGAAGTGCTATCTTGCCACAGGCCCCAAAGCAACAAGGCTGACAGAATATGATCTAAAACCTCCAAAACTGTGAGCCTAAACCTTTCCTCTTTTCAAGTTAATCATATCAAGTATTTTATTACAGTAAGGGAAAGCGGATTAACACGATAACCCATCTAGATTACTGGCTCTCTCTGACTGTGGAAGTGATAACTGCAAGGAATTAAGGATTCCTGAGCCAGTGACTCTGCCACTTTTCTGTATTCACAGAGAAGAAAAATCTAGCCTCATGGACTCATTCCACACCATCCACCCACTTTCCTTGCCTGGAGACAATTTTATTTCTCTTGAAGACATGATAGAGAAGAAACTGGCACTTAAATAATTAACGATATACATTGTCAAAAGGATAAAAGCAGCTTTTGCTAAATTTCAGTTTTCTTAACTCACCTGGATTATACCAGTCTGGTGTTTTTGGAGTGCTGCCTGTATAAAGAAGAAAGCAAGTGGCTTGAGTTTAGTATCTGATCACAGATCAGCTTACTGTAAGTAGGGCCTTTTAATGTTATTTACACTGTTATGAAGGTTTATTCATTTCTGAGCAAATCATTTGATTTCAAGTTATGTCATTTAGTTGAATTTTGTAGGGCTTGTACTAAAGCTTCTTCAGTGGCAAAAGATAGACTTGCTAAATATTTATATAGTATTCCAAGCAGTCTAGGGCTGGGGATGTAGCTCAATGGTAAAGTACTTGCCTAGAACAAGCAAGGCCCTGAATTGGATCCCCAGCATTGAGGAAAAAAATATATTTTAAAAAAATATATAAATGCATATGGATAATAAAATATACAAATCCATATATATAAAATATATCATACACACAATACATATGTATGCATTACTAGCAGTTTTTTGCTTTGTATTGGAAGTCAAAAGGAAGACATGGACAAAACATAGCTAATAATTAGAAAGTTAAAAATAAGTAAATGATGATGTTGTATAATTTACACAGAAGCACTAAGGGGTTTGCATCAAGGTAATCACCCTGTAGGATGAGGCTATTCAGGAACTACTTCCCTATCTAATGGAATTTGAGTTAACTGCACTGTACACTTACGGGGTTAGAGGTTACTGACTCATGAGATGTGGTTGGACAAAGTATCCAATACTGAACCTCTTGAGAAAGTGAAACAAAACTAGGAGGAAAACAATAAAAGTCAATGCAGATTCCTGAATGGAAATGGGAAATATGATATGCTTCACAGAATCATGGGCTTCACAGTGGTGTGCGGGCCCTCACACACTATGGCTGAGGTGCTTCACAAACTCCCTGAGCCTTCATTATCTACTTTATAAAAATGAGTCTACTCACAAAGCACTTGAAGACCTTGCTATCACCCCTAAAGTGGTACCCACACAGCCCCATGCACAGAGCAGCCTTCACAGGATTCTAGTTGCTTCCTTCCCCCTAGTCATACTGGCTACAGGTCACAGTGGTTTCAACTCTAAAACATAATTCACTTTATTTAATTACAGGGTAAAACAGCTGTTCTTAATATTGTTGTTGTATCGAGGCATAAGTCATCAGATGACCCTCCCAAGAGAGGACAGCCTGCACATGCAGCATCCTTGGGTTTTCTAAGTTCTCTTCAGATTGTGTAGTTTTCATCAATAGAAATGCAAATTGATTTAAAAATGAACACAGTTTCTTGTCTATGATATCGTCAAAGTCTTTTTTATATGAGACTATGATATACATATATGTATATAAGGTAGCAAGAAGTATAGCTGCTGTAATTGATAGTGATAATTTCCCTAAAAACATTTTCATGAATTTTATTTTTGATATTTTCCTCAATTAAAAAAAGAATATTTAAAAAAAAAACCTAGTAATTATGGCTAATTAAAATTCACAGGTTCATATCCCTTTTAGAGAAGAGGGGACTACTTAGAACAGGTAATAAAAAGGCAAGAAGAGAAAAGGCATGGTGATTTAGGCTAATAAGGGGAAAATTTCTTTAAGAAAACCAAAAATGCCAATTAATGTAAGTTGAGTAGATTTCGGCTGCTGTGGTAAACAAGAAAAATATCCAATCAGATGAATGCAATACCTTTTAACTTAGAAAGTTAGGTACTGTCAAAGGGGAGTTAGCTTAACATTTAAATCTTGGATTGAGCAATCATTGATTGCTTTAAATGACTGGTAGTTGATTCAAATGATATTTAGTTATTTAGTATTTTATTTTGTTTCTGCATGGGGGAAGAAAGGGTGTTATTATTTAGATTTGTTTGGTTGACTTTAGATTTGCCAAGACAGTCAGTTCCCTTTAAACTAGCACATGCTCTATCATAACATTTCCTGACATTACAGTTCTGTCATTTCTAAGTTGCCCTGGTTTCCACTCTTGGTCTGCATCTCCACCCAAACAGGAGGTGGGGGTAGCCGCTACCAGTGCAGGTGCCTTGGAGTGAGCAAGGACACTCTGTAGCAGGCTGGTAAATGCCACAAATGGGAGGCTCACCCGAATGCTTCAAACCAGAGACATTATGCATATTGGCTGTATATATGAGTTACTTTTCCACTTCCTTAAAGACCTTCTAAACTGGTTTTCCTTTGCTCCTTTTTGAAGTTTAATCAAACAATCAGGAATAACAGGGCATAGTCCTCCCCACCACCCCAGGACAACCACATCAACACACATTCATAAGCACAGAAGCACTCTTACTAGTGCCTGACAGTCCTCTTTCATGAAAGAGACTTGCCAGTTACTGTGCCTGAGGTCATATGTGGTGGTCCTTTGTAGGAAAATGGGCAAAACAATGACTCAATCTTTGGGGTTCTTTGAGAATCTGTAGGAGGATACACCTTTAGTTGAAACTGTTACATTCAGTTCAGAAATTCACTTTAGAACTTCCTTTGTATTTTCCATTGTGTTTACAATGTGTGCTTAAAAATAACTGGAGGGTCTGGGGATATAGCTCAGTTAGTAGAGTGCTTGCCTCACAGGCACAAGGCCCTAGGTTCAATCCCCAGCACTGCCAATAAAAAAAAAAAAAAGGTGGGGGGAGTAAAGTCTTCTCATCTTTTTAAATAATAATTTCCTAACATTTTCCTTGTAAAATACTAAATTAAAAAAAATCTATTTCTCGCTCTTTTCATCAAAGGCTCTGCTATAAATCTAAGTTCCTGAATTTGAATTTACATGAAGTATAAGCAGTTTTGGAGTTCATTGACAGTTGCTTCTAAATTTTATAATAACCTGCCAAATTTTGATTTTTTTGGTTCCTGCCTAATTCTTCTCCAAATTATCTTCATTTTGCATCAAAATAAAAATTAGAACGATTCTCTCTTCATCTATCCTTTTATTAAAATAATCTTTCATACCAAAATCTAATCTCCCTAAATGAGCCTTAAATTTTGTCTTCTATACAATTTTTTTTCTATGACCAAAGAGTAAGCTATTACCAAATTTCTGTAAGCTAAACTTCTTATAGGAGAGGGAGTTAGGCAGTAGGCGGGTGGTATAATATATTAATTGCACCTCACGACATGTAAAAATTACAACTGTGGACTAAAGCGGTGTCTTATATACTTCTAGCTCAGCATTTGCAACATTAACATGAGAAAATCGTGAAAAGGAATAGCTACCACTTACCTTTTGGAATCTGGCATACCCATTCAAGTTTTGTGTCACAAGCAAAAGGCCTCAAATAAATATATTCTCCATCATCGTAGAAATGCCAGCTTCTTCGCCATGGCTTGTATATAACCTAAAGGAGGAAAAGGATTGCAGAATATTTTGAGGTTGCTGCTGCCTTATGAAACACTAAACTGTACAGACTATGGCCTTGGTCCCTATTTCAGCCCTGGCACTTAAGCTTTCTGTAGAATAAATGACACATGAATGAATGGAATGTTTAAATAGTAACTGCCTGAGCAAAAGCCTTCCAAGGGGACTGAAATAAATTATAAGGCCATGTTTATGTCCAATATGTTAATTCCTGTCTCTTTTCCCCCTGATTTTATTGACAAGAAATTGTAGAATCTTGTACGTATAAAATTTGGAAAAAGATCAAGTTATAAAAGAACATTATTTCAGCAGTATTCAAGCACCAGGCTGTGACTGGAACAGATCAGAAGATGACACAGAAGTCCAGGCTCAGGGGCTATACTCCTTTATTGTTGTTCTGACATTTCTAGGACGTTTCCCAATGCCTCATGGACAGGGTGGCTCCCTGGGAATTCCAGTCAGCCACTTCTCTGAAGTGTTAACCTTTTCTGTGCTACTTTGGGAATTCTGTACAAATGGTATGATACTCTAAGAGTTTATTACAAGAAGAGTTACTTTGAAAATAATGTTTTCCAAAGACTTTCTCAATTTTTATTGGCCCCAACCTTCCTGTAGCATTTTCTTGGGCTACAAAGTAAAGATATTAACTGGATGTGTCCTCTCTCCTTGTCTTCTTTTATTTTTTAATTGGCAGTTCCCTCAACTCTACTTCTTAGCCCTTTTTATAATATTCATTTCTCCCCTTCAACTCCTTCAAAGTTTCTTTAATTTCAACTTATGATAGGACACATCTTACGTCAAGGTTGGATTTAAAACTATCTAAATTAAAATAGAGCATATTCCACAGACCAGTGCACCTTCCAATCATATTATACAGTGGTTAAGAGTACTGGACTCAGACATGTTACCACCAACATTTCAGTCCTGTTACCACCTAACCCTGAGTAAGTTACTCAAAGCTCAAATTTCTTTCTCTACACAATAACTATGGTAACAGTTCCTACTTAACAAGGTTGTGTATTAAACTAAGTAATATATATAACATGCCTTGCACAGTACTTGACTTCTAAAGGAGTCAGTAAGTGTTTGCTGCTCACCATCCCCACCATCACTGCCATTACCACTGTTATTCTTTCCTAACAACCCCGTTCCTGTGTGTAACCTGTATTCTGCCTGTCATAGCCCTGGCCTGATGGTATCATCTGCTTGTTTGTCTTTATCTCCTACTAGACTGGAAGTTCCTTGAGGACAATGACAATGTTTTGTAGCCTGTCACTGTTTTATTCCCCTTCACAGATTCCCTGAACATGTCACTTATGAAATGGATAAAGGAATGCATTCTGCAGAGGTAAATGCCTAATGGGTCGTTTATGTCTTCCACTCCTATCTGCTGTATTTTGAAATTTGTCTCAAGATATATCTTCCTCATACTCTCAGTTCATGTCATCCTCCATCCTCAGAGACTTTTTAAATTGTCCTGTTGTTATCAAAAATATGTACAAACACCTCATCCTGGCATTAATCTAATTTCCCAATGTTGTTGCAAAACAGCATTGAAAACAACTGCCTCCCCTTCTTTCCTGGGGATCAGGCCGAAGACCTCAAACATGCTAAACATGTGCTCTACCACTGAGCTACCATCTCAGTCCCGGATTTATTTATTTACTTTCAATGCAGATTTTCCAGCACTAGACTGACCTTGACAGCAGCACAGTCTCTGATGTCGTAATCTTGCTGAAACTCATTTTCCATGATAATAGTAGACACCTGAAAAGACAAGAGAGCCTTGAGAATTTAAGAATGATGCATAAATATTTGCAATTTAGATGTAATTTAAGCAGCTTTAATAATGGAGCATGTTCATATGCAACTGAAAAAAAAACAGTTTAAAAATCAGGATGCTAAATCATGAGAAGACTTAGACAATGTCATAATGTCATAAGTTTCTAAACAAAGGAAGGCACAGTTTCAAAAGTGGAGGTTAATGATGTAGTAATTTTACTGCTATAGTGAGAGTGCCAAGACAATGACAACAACTACTTCTTCCACCTCCTCCGTCTTCTCTTTCATGTTTTGCATATGTTAAAATGTTGGTTATTTGATCAACTAATCTCAAATATGCTCCAAATTGAAAATACAAGTCAGAAAAAAAAAAAGGTCAGGAGTCTAACATTTAGAAAGAATACCAAATGAATTAACAGAAAGGTAAAGTGTAGCAAATATTGAATATTTGAAAATTTTGCTGTTTGTGTTATTTAAAACATCTCTTCAGAATAATTTAAACATTTGAAATAATATTGGAAGATTTTTTAGGTTCCCCCCAATGAATTGTTTTTCTCAATAAAGATAATTTCTCTTTATATAACTCCTATTTTTAGATAATAAAAATAAAAGTTTCTCATTATTAAAAAAAATTAAAGCCAGTATGATGTTGCACACTTATAATCTCAGTGACTTGGGAGACTGAGGCAGGGGGAGTGCAAGTTTGAAGACAACCTCAGCAATTTAGCAAGGCCCTCAGTAACTTAGCAAGACCTTGTCTCAAAATCAAAAATAAAAAAGATCTGAGGGCTGGAGTTGTAGCTCAGTGGCAGAGTGCTTGCCTAGCATGTGTGAGGCACTAGGTTTCAACCTCAGCACCACATAAAAAAATAAAGGTACTGGGTCCATTTACAACTAAAAATATTTAAAAAAAAAGATATGGGGATGTAGCTTGGTGGTTAAGGACCCCTGGGTTAAATCCCGGTTACCCGCCCCTCTCTGCAAAAGAAGTTAAAAAAAAATTATTAAAAGCAAAATAAAGAAAAACTTTGAGGAAAAAAAATTATTTTTACTAACCAAAGATGGCCACCACATCTATGTATCTATATTTTTCTCTTTTTTGGACCATTCATATACTATATATATTTTTAAGTAAAAGTAAATTAGAACCTTGTTTTTTTTCCCCCACTTCATATACTTCATATATGTGAATCTGTTTCCATTTCAGTAAGCATGCAGCTTCACAATTTTGGTATGTGGATATATTTATGTTTTTTAATTGACAAGTAAAATTGTTATTTTTTTATCATATACAACATGATGTTTTAAAGTATAGGCATTGTAGAATGACTGAATCTAATTTACATATACTTTACCTCACATAGTTATCATTTTGGTGGTGAGAACACTATACATCCACTATCAGCATTATTTTTAATAACTATAATTGCCATGTTTCACAATAATAGATCTCCTGAAATTAATCCTGTTATCAGTATCTGAAATTTTATATCCTTTGACAAACATCTCCTTAATCCCCTAACCCCTGATAACCACCATTCTACTTTTCTAATTCTGAGATCAAGTTTTTTTGATTCCACATATTGGTGAGATCATATGGCATTTGTCTTTCTAGTTGGCTTATTTCAATGAATATTTTCACCTCAGGTTCATCCATGTTGTTGCAAGTGGCAGGATTTCCTTCTTTTTATGACTGAATAGTATTCCAATATGTATATATAGCACAATTCCTTTATCCATTCATCCACTGATGGACATTTAGGTTGATTCCATATCTTGACTATTATGAATAATGCTGCAATAAACATGGAAGTGTAACTATCTCCTCAAAATACTGATTTCGGGGGCTGGGACTATAGCTCAGTGGCAGAGCACTTGCTTAGTACATGTGAAGCACTGGGCTCGATCCTCAGCACCACATAAAAATAAATGAATAAAATAAAGGCATTGTGTCCATCTACAACTAAAAATATTAAAGATTACTGATTTCATTTCATTGGAATATATACCCATAGTGCAATTCCTAGATCATATGGTAGTTCTTTTTTTTCTTCTTTTGAGTATTACTGGGGATTGAACCCCAGAGGGTTCTTCCTCTGAGCAATATCTCCAGTCCTATTTTTATTTTATTTTGAGAGAGAGTCTTGCTAAGTTGCCTAGGCTGGCTTCAAACTTGTGATCTTCCTGTCTCAGCTTCCCTAATTGCTGATATTAGATGTGGGCACTACGTACCCCCCACTATCTTTTTTCTTTTTGATATCAGCTGTTCTAACAGGTGTGAGGTAATACGAGTTTGTGTTTTTAGTTTGTATTTCCCTGATGATTAGTAATGTTTAGCATTTTTTCATATATTTGTTGGCCATCTGAATGTCTTCTTTTGAGAAATGTCTTTTCAGATCATTTGCCCGTTTTAAGTTGGTTTATTTGTTCTCTTGCTATTGAGTTGTTTGAGTCCCTTACATATTTTGGATATTAATGCTTATTAGATATATGGTTTACAGATAATTTTTCCTGTTCTGTAGGCTGTCTCTTGGTTGACTGTTTTCTTTGGTGTGCAGAACCTTTTCAGTTTGGTGCGATCCCATTTGTCTATTTTTGCTTTTGTTGCCTGTGTTTTGGGGTCATATTCCATAAATCACTGCCCAGACCAGTATCATAGAACTTTCCCTCTTATGTTTTCTTCTAGAAGTTTTGTAGTTTGGGGTCTTTAATTTAAGTCTTTTAACTCATTTTTAGTTGATTTTTGTAGATGGAGTGAGATAAGGATCTAATTTCATGCTTCTGCACGTGGGTTTTCGGTGGTACCTGCACTACTTGTTGAACAGACTATCTTTTCTTCATTGTGTTCTTGATTGTCAGAAATCATTTGTGTGTAAATGCATGGATTTTTTTTCTGAGCTTTCAATTTTTCTACTGATCTATGTATCTCTTTATGATCTATGTATCTCTTTACAACCATTTTGTATTGGTTGCCATAGGTATATAATACTTTTTATTTTTTGAACTCAGGAATTGAACTCAGGGATACTCAACCACTGAGCCACATCCCAATCCCTTTTTGTATTTTATTTAGAGACAGGATCTCACTGAGTTGCTTAGCACCTCACTTTTGCTGAGGCTGGCTCTGAACTCTCAATCCTTCTGCCTCAGCCTCCTGAGCTGCTGGGATTACAGCATGCACCACTGTGCCCAGCTAAGTAATACATTTTTGAAGTCCAGGAGTGTGACACCTCCTACTTTTTGCTCAAGACTATGGTAATTCAGGTTCTTTAGAGATTCCTTATGACTTACCTGTTGTTGAAATAAACACTACTTCCATACTACCCCAACAGAAGGTTTTAACTTACTGGTGTACGATCACTCCACTGCCACGATCCTTGTAGGTCTGGGCTCCTTTTATTCAAACCTATCCATAGCCAACGCTGGTCACTACATAAAGAGGAAGCATTAAAAATTTTTTCAGGATACTTGGTGAAAATATTTACCATTCACAATGCTTAAAGTGCTTCAGTCATATAACTTTATTTAGACTATCTTGTCACTGACTGGAAAACACAATCTCAAGCCATATAAAGAAGTCCTCTGAGCTGAGCGTGGTGGTGCACACACCTGTAATTCCAGCTACTTGGGAAACTGAGGATTGCAAGTTTGAGACCATCCTGGGCCATTTAGCAAGATCTTGTCACAAAATTAAAACAAAAAAGAAGGGCTGGGGATGTAATTTAGTAACAGAGCACTTGTCTAGCTTGTGCAAGGCCCTGGGTTCAATTCACAGTGCTGACAAAGAAAAAAAGCCTTTTGAAATGAAACTGAACCCTTAATATGGTGTAGCTACAGAAAAAGCAGCATACTTTTAAATAACTAAATTTTTTTTTGCATGAAACACAAAAATAATTCTGCTTTAAACTTTCAAGACAAAAATGTTGTGATTATTTCAAAACTTTACTGCAGGGTTTTCACATTATTTTATTTTCAAATAGAGTCAAATACAACAGTGGCATTTTAAAAAAGCATTGTCTAAACACTATCACATCTCTTTAAAAAGAACAGAACCATTTTGCTAAATTTATACTAAACAAGGTTCAAAAAATATTTTAATTTCTATTGCCCATTAAGTTGAAAGTAAACAAATTTGAGTATATTTGAAGTGCCAAAGAAATATACTAGAGAGATAGAATTAAACGATCACTTAAGTGATGACACATAATATTCATAAGTAGTATACTTTGATGTACATGCTGGGCGCAAGGATGACACAGAGAAGTACAAGACCTAATAATGAAGTAGTTAGGGAGACAAGATTTATATAAGAAAATAAAATACAATAAGACCATTGATGAGAACTATCAAATAAGCTGTATAAATTTAAGTGCTACCAACGTTGAGAAGAAGGAGAGGTCACTGTGGACTGCAGAAGCAAAGGAAACACTTTCATGAGGTTAGGAGATAGTTTTCAAAGGATGGCTAACATTTCTTTCCAGCCAAAGTCTGAAGTGTTCAGTATTCAGATTGGCCTAGAGGAAAACAGGAATTCCAAGGAAAAATATGTACACAATTATATGCACATTTAAGTGATCCCTTTCCTCAAATAAACTTAAGCTCTAGCCAGGGAAACAGATCTGCATAAGTAGAAGTGATAAGACTAAAAACTTTTCTGTTTCCATCTCTACATGAAAATAGTTTCTAAAATTTAAGACATCATAGGCAGACCCGTTATATTCCATATAATTGTGTGTGTGTGTGTGTGTGTGTGTGTTAGGTACTGAGACTGAACGCAATGCCTTCTACATCTTAGCCAGGTGCTGTAGTACTGAGCTAATATCCCTGGCCCCATAGTACATATAATTTAATTTTCTGTTGGTACAAGGCATCAGTAGCACATGGATAAATACATATGTCTATAAGGGAGTATATGTGTATGCATACAGAATACATATATAAATATAGTATGAATATAGATAACATATTAAAGAAGGGGTAGGATCCAAATCTAAAAACTATCCTTACTCTTAAGTAGGATGTGGAATATACGGAGTGTGCAACCACAAGACTACTGGGAAATATAATAGAAAATTTTGTAAAAATTTGTAGACCTATTGAATAAAAGGCTAGAACAAACTATTTTAATTGCTTTTCACTTTTTAATAAAATAATTGCTTTCCTTTATCTCTTTCCTTTGTTCAATATTCTTTCATAGCTTAATATCAATCAGTACTTTTTCATCATTTTAATCCCAAGTTTTTCAACTTGTTGCAATGGAATATGAAGATTGTTCTTTTTGGTTGTCAGTGTTATATTATTTTCTTTCATAGAGGACAATCACCAATTTGTGGACTTCAGATAAATCCAGGGGAGACAACTAAGTCAGTTTAAATTTAGTATCTATAAAAGGAATTTGCAGTTTGTGTCTTCAGTTAATTAGAGTTCTCCTAACAGCTTCCAAATGTCTCATACTGTCTGAGTTTTGGATTTCTACACTATAGATCTGGATAAGCACCACATACAGCGTAATTAAAGCCAGATGGCTAAAATAAAGAGAAGATTAAGTTTCCTTCCTCATACTTACTTGGCAATACAATCTTTACACAGTATATACTTGGGCCAGGGGAATTAATGTAGAAATTTTGTTTTTCCCTAAAGTAAGCATTAGATAGTTTACCTTCTTTAGGCAATCAACAGTATAGCTGGGCAGATGATCAAAGGTCAACTGCTGGGCATTCAGGAGGTTCCCCAAAGCAGCCTTTGCAGAGGCCTATCCCCAGATTTCCAGGCTCCTGATGCCCTCACCTATTCTCCTTTTGGCCAATGGCTGCCCCTCCTCCCACTTAAAAGCTTTTTTACTTTCAAGTTCATTTCCACATCTCAGCTGAATCTCAGAGGACAGTTTCCTAGAGAAAAAGAGTTTGCCCAATTGTCCAAAAAATATTTAATCTTCACTACTTTCTGAGACTGAACTTCATTTCAACCCAGAAATTTAGTCTTCCGTTTCATTTCCAGGGATTCACTAGTGCGTCACAAATACAGAAAATAGTAGCTACTTGTGTGTGGTCCAAAGTGGAAAGCATTTTCTGAATTATAACTTGTTCCAAGTTTGATCTGCTTTAGCTGTAGCCAGATAAAGAAAGGTAAGAATAAACTGGAAATCACATCTATCAGTGCAAACCTCCAATGTAGATTTCAGAAAACTGGAGGGAAAAATAGAAGTTAGGTACCTGATCATAATAGAAATCAGATCAAAATCAAACTTTCTCAATAAATTTCTTGTACTCCAGTCCAAGTATACAAACCAAGTAAGTATACAGTTTCAAGGCCTTTAGGTTAAGGAGACATTATATAAAAGGTTAATATGTGTGAGTGTGCTAAAATTCCTATTCTCAATCAAATTTCCTGTCGCATCTGGTTGCAAAGAAAAACAGTATCTCAGCCATAACCCCCAATAAATACTATTTGATGAAGGCTCTTAGTCTGCAAAGCCTTAGATTTATATCTAAATCCATTCATGCCACTTCACAGGAGGCAGTGTACACAGCAGCAATGGCATTGCAAATAAGCCTTTATTCTCTAATCCTATGACTATTTTTGCTCTACAATGGCTTTCCCTGTTGGGCTGCTATTAAGAGCTGCAAAGATCTCAGAGCCTTAATGACTTGGTGCACCATGAATCCTTTTCATTGAAATACAAATAGAGATGTGGAATTTAGATTGTGAGAAGTATAGCAGTAATCTGACTTAACTCTTTGGCATGCAATACACAATTTGGGTGGGCAATGGACTTCTTGCTGAGAAAGGTCAATTCCTGCAATAAAAGCTAATGCATTCAAGGAGTAAGCTTCAGAGTCATTTTCTAATATGAATGAGTCTGCTTCCTTCTTTTCCTTTAAGACATGGCTACATTTTTGGTTCTAGAATGTTTTCTTTCTAAGTACAGCACAGGGAAACAATTTCTTTATTAATGGAATACTTATTAAGCAGAAACACAGTCTGTCTAATATGGCATTATGTTGGCTGCTAGGATAAGACTACAAATAAAACATAATTCCTAAAGAGATTTGTTTTCTTTCCTCTGTGCTTTTCTGTTTTTTAATTCCACATACATTATTTTTGTGATTAGAAAAAGAAACATTATACATAGTAATTCTGTGGACAATCATTTTATAAAAACTACATGTATAGGAATGGAAGAAAATTGAAAGCATTTACACTAAATGTTAACTATAACTGGGAACTAGGATTTGAGATGATTCTTATTTTCTTCATTACCCTTTTAATAGTTTCCAAATTTTACATATGAACTTGTACTAATTTTTAAATGGGAAGTGCTTAAGTGTGATTAAAAAAATAAAGAGAAGTTCTTTAATTATCGTTCATATTAGTGTAATATGAACACATTCCTAGTGTAATCCAGTCGGTAATAGAGGCTCTTAGCAGTCATTTCTATCACATATGTTATTCCAGTGTTTTCCATCAATTGATTCCCACAAATCCTACACCTTTACTGCTTAGTACTTACCCATGACTCCCTGTTCCAATTAGAATTACTAACTCTAGAATCCAGAGTTTGTTTGCATATCAGTATTTTACTATAAATACTTTATCTAGACAGTGTGATAATGTGCGGGTCAAGCTTGAGATCTTGGGGCCATTAGGCTGCTTTGCTCAAAATTCACACTTCAGAGAGGATCAGCAGAGTGTTAAAAAAGCCATGCCCCACAGGTGGCCACCACAGGGATGTGTGTGATCCAAAGCTACACCTGAGGCTGTGGTAATTAGCCTCTGCTGAAAGTCAGGAAAGGGTTTATGTCAGTGAAACTAGAAGTTGCTAATCCACATGATTTCAGAAATGAGCTCTCCTTAGTGAAATTTAAATTATTCAAGATACGGGGATTAATTAAAATATTTAGAAAGAATCTTACTCTTCATAAAAGGGTTCAAGGATCTTGGGAGACCAGTAGCTGTACCTTTAGAAATGGCACTAAGAGATTGATCCCTAACTGGTCCCTTGTCCAGTCACTGGGTCAAGTGATTACAGGCCTGATGCCCAACTATAATGGGAATGAGAATCTGCCATTGGTGCAGAGATTCATTTAATAATACTTTGTCATTAATTGTGCTATGGCTACTGGATTGAACTACTCTTCTATTTTTAATTCAGAAAGAACTTGTATATTAATTGTATTCATTAACTATATATCAAGTATATATATTAAGCCAGAAATGAATAAGAATTTTACCAGATGCATTTTTAGTGCCTATTAAGATGATAACATGGCTCTTGTGATTATTAACTCATTTGCTATTTGAGTTAATATGGAACAAGCACATATCATAAGGAGGTCAAGAAGTAATGAGTTAGGGACCCTGGCAAATTGAACAGTGATGTCACATCTCAATGGGCCACCAGCTACTCACACTGACTCATATGCAGTGTAATATGAATCATTGCCAGTTTTTTCAATTTTTAAAGAGATGGGTTTTTATTGAAATGTCTTAATTTTGTAACACTTTGTATACCCTTTCTTCCAGGAAAAAAACATCATTACTTTGGGCTGCAGAGGTGCTAACTGGCTGTTTTTAAGTCTCTTATAGCAACGTAGAATTGGATACTATTATTGAACAAATTTGTATACTCAGACTTAATCAAAACCGACAATGGGTCTTTTGCCAACTTGTTTTATGTTGGATTTCATCCTTGATTATTTTATTTATTTATATTTATCTATATGGGCTCCACCACAACCTATTATACATTCAATAGATGGGCATATGCTTAAATTTTACTAAACATTATCTTCAAGCTTTAAAAATTTATATAATCAATGTTTCTAAATATGATTTCCAGGTAAAATGAGAAATTTACTATGCTTTCATTTTTTTCACAACTGTTTTAACTTTCTACATTCTAATTTTTATTTATATAAACAGTTAAAAACCTGGTGTAATTAAATTATTCTTATATTTCTCTTTCAAGACAGAGGATAATTTTGTTCTGTCTTTATAATTATATTTATTACAACTACTTAGACTTTGGGCTAGGTTTTAATGTTATATTATTGCTTCTGATTCTTTTATAATGAAATCCCTACTCAAGTGTTTTTGATTTTTGTATTCATCTCTTAACTGGAATTTGTCTTTGAAATTTTTTTCCAAGAAGGTAATATGGTGGTTAATATCAATTAATTTCTTCACAAGTGAAATTAATTGGAAACTAAAATTAATATATTATAGGCTTTTTCTGCCTCAAAACTCTTTAGATATCAGTCTTTAAATAACTTCTATATTCCAAAGAAGGCTAGTTAAACATTTTTTTTTGTTTTGGCAAACTATTTTAATTTTTGCTGTTTTCCTTGAGATTTTTGTTAGATTCAAAATGATTGGGAAAATATAATTTACTCTGGTATACCCTGAACTTTTTTTTTTTTTAGACAGCTTTGGGTCTTTCTTCAGTTCAGAAAGTGAAAAGAGAAAAACATTTTGTGGAGTTGATGAACCTAATAACCATGATTGTGTGCAAAGCTTAGAATTTTTTTTTCCAAGACAGCATCACCTGGCTCATATTTTTCCATATTGTCCTTAAAGACATCAGGAAAATTGACAAGGAAGGCTCCTTCTACCTCAATATTAAAATCACAATGGCTATAACTTCTATGATCACTTCCAATTTTCCCTTTCTTACTGCCCTTCCTCTGTGCAGGCTTCCACCAGAGCAGCTGTACTAGCTTTCTAACTAGTTGGTCTGCATCGATCTACAGAGCTACTCCCCCCTCTGTATGTATGTGTATGTATGTATGCATTTATATGTATATGTGTATCTGTATGCTTGTGTATATAGGAATATAAGTGGTTTATACCACTTAATTAATCTCTTCACAAATGAAGTTAATTGGGGACTAATTAACTTACTTGTTTTTTACTTATTGACTTAAACTCATTCTCTGATAAGCAAAGGAATCTCAATTTCGTATCCAAATCTTATTTTTTAGCCAAGCTGTATGATTCATTTCTCCTTGCCCACATCTGTACATTCTGTTCTCAGCACCTTGACTTGTGTTTTCACTGGCTTTTTCTATTTTACTTTTTAAAATATTACCTACCCTCCAATAATCAGCCTTCCTCATGACATTTCTCTTGATCATACCTGCCAGGAAAACTTCCTCCCTTCTCTGAATTGCCAAGGCCCCTCTTTATCTATGCTGTAGATATTTTTTTTTTAACATACTTTTCTTAACACTGTTGTTGAACTTTACTAGAACAAAGGACAGGGACTGTGTCTCACTCATCTCTGAATCTCTCATAGTATCTTGTATATAAGAGTGCTTGATATTGCATGACTGCTAAGCACTGTTTTTTTAAGATGATATAACATGTTAATCTGAATATTTACAAGACATCACATTTAGCACAGAAGCTCATTCTAGAAATATTACCTGAACTGCTCCCTTAACCAGTGAAGGTATTCCTTGATTTCAGTCATATGACTGAAGCTAGGCAGGTGTGCTCCAAGTGCTTGGCAGAATCTTTCAGCTTCTTCCCAGTTCCTCTTTCTCACAATTCTTTCTGCATGGAATGCCTTGACAAAATATAATGTTAATTTGTTTTCTGGCATAATCATGAAGTATTCATAGTTTTTAAGTCAATTATAGTCAAAATATTATGGGACCTGAAACTGATCCTCATAATGAAGGCACAGGAAAATCTGTGTACAATGAGTCAAGGACCCTTCATGCTCTAAGTGTCAACTAAAGGCCTATAAAGATGTTCACTATTGTCAGATGTATGAACTATACCTCAGTCAGGCTGGTAAACTACTCCAACAAGATACCATGTTCTAATGCATTCCCAGGACTTTGAGAGAGAAAATGAACCAGTAGTCAAGGCTGTAAGGGGTACATAAGGAAGCTCTGGGAGAAGAATTCTGCAAAGAAGTATGCTGACAATATAATTTCGAATGCAAGCCATGAATACCTACATAAGAAGAGGACAACTTTCAGATCAGGAAGTAGCAAATAAAAGTCTGTCCTGATGTGTGAACTTTGACAGAAGGCAACAAAACCAAACCTGCCACTGTGGACTGTTTCCTTGTTGTGTAATGATTAATTTTAGGTCAAAGAAATCATTATTTCAAAAAAGAAGAGAAAATGCACTGGTAGGCCAATTATTGGTCCCAATTCTTCTGTTCCCTATGATATAATGACACATTCTTGTCATGACCTCTTTGGGGTGGAGTAGACTTCTCTGTACTTTGATGTGGGGTTTGGCGATGTAGCTTTCTGTGATTAATGGGATACTAGTGTAGCTAAAGTGAGCAGAGGCCTGAGATGTGCTTATGTGGTTAGGCTTGACTTCTTGGGCTCCAGTGATTTGCCACAAGAAACAATCTCCTGAGAGAGGCTGCTCATTCGGCTTGAGCCCTAGAGTCATCATAGCGAGTCCCACACAGCTGACCTGCGGCTGGAAATAGAGTTGACCATTCAAACTAGATCAGTCAAACCCTAGCTGACCCCAAGATTTATGAGCCTGAGACTAAACACTGTCATTGCTACTAAGATTTGGGGTGGTATCTAATGGTTGGTTTGTGGGACTGACTGACTGACTGACCGAATGACCCATTTTTTCCCATAATGAGAAGGGATGAACCTCTTTATTTGACAAGAAGTAGAGGGATATGAGAATCACAAGCATTGCATCAGCATGGTGGCAGCCCACTGACTCTCAGGAGGAGAGAAGCCAGGCAGAGGGCCAGTTCTGGCTCTGGCCCTACTCTTTTGGGGAGGACATGTGCAGAGTGTGGGATTGAAACACCTGACACCAAAGTTTCCAAATGTCCTGCCAAGGACTCTATGCTCCCAAACACTTTTTTAGGTTATATGTCTATGGCAAGGAACATAATTTGTACAAAGACATGAACTAGGATAGTGCAGAGATGACACCACTGAAGGACTGGATGAGAATGCCGCTTTACCTTGTAACAAGAAACACCGGAGGGGAAACCATGCCAGCCTTCAGGACAAGGGCCATCAGGCTTGGGGGCTGCTTTTTCAGGCTCCAGGGATCCACTTATTTTCTTGCAAATTGAAAGTGCTCTGAAGCTTCTGCAGTCCTTCACCACCCACTTGCCAAGAAACTTTCCAGTTGACATAGCCACGCACCCACCTGGAGACGCTAGGGTTGAATGGGAAAGTTTAATTAAAACCTTAAAGTCCAAAAATTTTCTATCATGTATTTCTTCTCTTTATTTGAGCCAAGGTAGGGAGAAAAAATAAGAAAAAAAACAATGGAGGAAAAAGAGGAAAGAAAGATATTGTTCAGAATAATGATTATGATGGATGATGATGGTGGTGGTAGGTATTAAACAGAAGTATTGACTCCCAATCAGATACCACTCTAGGATTAAGCTCATTAATTCTTTTTTGTTGTTGTTGTGGTTACTGTCGATTGAAAACTCAGGGGCACTTGGCCACTGACCCACATCTTCAGGCCTATTTTGTATTTTATTTAGAGACAGGGTCTCACTGAGTTGCTTAGCACCTTACCATTGCTGAAGATGGCTTTGAACTTGCGATCCTCCTGCCTCGGCCTTCCAAGCTGTGGGTATTACAGGCCTGCACCACTGCACCCAGCCTAATTAACTCTGACAATAAACCAGAGGGTGATTCTAGCCACAACTGAGGTAAGTGAGGATGAAGTGACTTATCCAAGATCACTTCTATTAGTAAGTAGCTGACCCAAAGCAATCTGCTTCCAAGGTGGTATCCCAAACCACTATGCTGCAGGGAAATGGTTCCAATTCACTTAAAAAACTTTGAGCAGTTTCTAAGCAATTCAGTTCACTTCAAAATAAAACCTTGTCAGATTCAGATCCAAAGGAAGGGTGAGGACAATAAAGACAGAAGGAGGTATGTGGAAACATATTTGTTTACTATTTATCTTATGACAGTCATAATTTTATTTGTTCACAACAACATTAAAAGATACTTTATTTGGAATGGAACCACCATTTGACCTAGTGATTTGACCTACTCCCAAAGGATTTAAAATCAGCATACTAAAGTGGTGCAGCCACATCAATGTTTACAGCAGTTTGATTCACAATTGCTAAACTATGGAACCAACCTAGGTGCCCTTCAACAGATGAATGGATAAAGAAACCATGGCATATATACACAATGGAATATTACTTGGCCATAAATAAAATGAAATTATGGTATTATGGTATTAATACCATAATATTGGTATTAATTGCTATTATTTGTAAATGGATGGAACTGGAGAACATTATGCTAAGCAAAAAAAAAAGCCAATTCCAAAGAACCAAAGGTTGAATGTTTTCTCTAATAAGCACACCTTATTCATAGTAAGGAGACAGTCATGGGTGGACTAGACAGAGGTAAGTGTGGGGGAGCATAGGGATATGAATGATAGTGGAATGAATTGGACATTATTACCCTATGTGCATTTATGATTAAATGACCTGTGTAACTCTACATCATGTACAATCAGATGAATGAGCAGTTAATACTCCATTTACGTATGATTTATCAAAATACATTCTACTGTCATGTATAACTAATTAGAACAAATTTTAAAAATTTTTTTAAAAAAGGTAGTTCGTATTACCAGATTTTCTTTTCTTTTCTTTTTTTTTTTTTTTTGTGTGAGTGTGTGTGTGGTACTAAGGCTTGAAGCCAGGACCTTGTACATGCTAGACACGTGCCCTACCAGTGAGCCACATTCCCAGCCCTCAGATCTACTTTTGAATGAAGACTAAATTACTTGACCCTAGTCATAGTAAGTGAGAGGAAAAGTTGAAATTTGAACTCAGATTTGTCTGGCAAAAAGTTACGCTATGCTTCCTTTCCATTATAGCATGATATTGGTGATCATGACCATGGGTCACCAATTTTGAGGGCAGTCCCAATTTCAAGTATTATTTTCATTATAAGCTTACATGATCCAATTTCAATGTTACGGAAAATAGTTTAATTATAATTCTGCCTGAAATGAACAGAATACAAGAAGAGTCACATACACCGAAAGGAACAAGAATGACTTCTATCCCACCAGAGAAGCTATATGGTCTCATATTTACCTATAGGCAACAAGAGGAACAAGGAAAATAACGCCACACCACCCAGGAGGGGTGTGCCGCTTCTTCCCTGTTCTGCCCACCTATCTACCTAATGGAAGTTTTTCTGACCACACAGCGAAGGACACCATGGTGGTGGCTACCTCTTGAGCCCTCTCAAACCACTGAAGCTTATCAAGGATGAATGTGACATTTATTCTAAAATGGCCGAGTCTGTATTAAAGAAATCTATGTTTTACCTGCTAGAATATTTCCAATTTAAGTGAGATTTAACCAAGTTTGATGTCTGTGTCCTCTGAATTTTTTAAGTAAATAAGTGATTTTGTTAATATTAACAACACTCACATTGATGGTCATGACCATGTGTCACAAATTTTGTGGGTATTCTCCATGCTCCAGTTTCCTGGTTATGAAAAATGGTCTCATTGGGATTTTAATAGGAATTGCATTAAATCTGTATAATGCTTTTGGTAGTATGGCCATTTTGACTATAAATTCTGCCTATTCAGGAGCATGGGAGACCTTTCGATTTTCTGATGTTTTCTTCCATTTCTTTCTTTACTGTTCTGTAGTTTTCATTGTATGGGTCTTTCACCTCTTTTGTTAGATTGATTCCCAGGTATTTTATATTTTTTGAGGCTATTGTAAATGGAGTAGTTTTCCTAATTTCTCTTTCAGTGGATTCATCACTGATGTATAGGAATGAGTTTGATTTATGGGTGTTGATTTTATATCCTGCTACTTTGCTGAATTCATTTATTAGATCTAGAAGTTTTCTGGTGGAATTTTTTGGATCTTCTAGATATAAAATCATGTCATCAGCAAACAGTGATAGTTTGAGTTCTTCTTTACCTATTTGTATACCTTTAATTTCTTTCGTCTGTCTAATTGCTCTGGCCAGTGTTTCAAGAACTATGTTAAATAGAAGTGGTGAAAGAGGACATCCCTGTCTTGTTCTAGTTTTTAGAAGAAATGCTTTCAGTTTTTCTCCATTTAGAATGCTGTTGGCCTGGGGCTTAGCATAGATAGCTTTTATAATGTTAAGATATGTTCCTGTTAACTCTAGTTTTTCTAGTGTTTTAAACATGAAGGGGTGCTGTATTTTGTCAAATGCTTTTTCTGAATCTATTCAGATGATCATATGGTTCTTCTCTTTAAGTCTATTGATGTGATGAATTACATTTATTGATTTCTGTATGTTGAACCAACCTTGCATCCTGGGATGAACCCTACTTGATCGTGGTGCACTATCTTTTTGGTATGTTTTTGTATGCGATTTGCCAGAATTTTATTGAGGAATTTTTGCATCTATGTTCATTAGAGATACTGGTCTGAAGTTTTCTTTCTTTGATGTGTCTTTTTCTGGTTTTGGAATCAGGGTGATATTGGCCTTATAGAATGAGTTTGGAAGTGCTACCTCTTTTTTTATTTCCTGAAATAAATTGAAGAGTATTGGAATTAGTTCTTCTTTAAAGGTCTTGTAGAACTCGGCTGTGTATCCATCTGGTCCTGGGCTTCTCTAGGTTGGTAGAGGGCATCTTTAATTTCATCACTTGAAACTGAACTGTTTAAATTGTGTATATCATCCTGATTCAATCTGGGCAAATCATATGGCTCTAGAAATTTGCCAATGCCTTCAATATTTTCTATTTTTTTTTTTTTGAGTAAGAATTGAAAGACCTCTAGAACAAAAAGTAACAGAACACTAAAGAAAGAAATTAAAGAAGACCTTAGAAGATGAAAAGATCTTCCTTGTTCTTGGATAGGCAGAATTAATATTGTCAAAATGACCATACTACCAAAAGCACTATACAGATTTAATGCAATTCTAATCAAAATCTCAATGATATTCCTAATAGAAAGAGCAGTCATAAAATTCATCTGGAAAAATAAGATACCCAGAATAGCTAAAGCAATCCTTAGCAGAAAAAGTGAAGCAGGTGGCATCACTATACCAGACCTTAAACTATATTACAAAGCAATAGTAACAAAAACAGCATGGTATTGGCACCAAAACAGATTGATAGATAAATGATACAGAATAGAGGACACAGAGACTAACCCACATAATTACAGTTATCTTATATTAGACAAAGGTGCCAAAAACATACATTGTAGAAAAGATAGCCTCTTCAACAAATGGTGCTAGGAGAACTGGAAATATATATGCAACAAAATGAAATTAAACCTTTTTCTCTCACCATGTACAAAACTCAACTCAAAATGGATCAAGGACCTAGGAATTAAACCAGAGACCCTGCATCTAACAGAAGAAAAAGTAGGCCCCAATCTCCATCCTATCAGATTAGGCCCCTACTTCCTTAATAAGACTCCTATAGTGTAAGAATTAAAATAAAAAATTAATAAATGGGATGGATTCAAACTAAAAAGCTTCTTCTCAGGAAAAAAAAAATCAGTGAGGTGAATGGAGAGCCTATATCTTGGGAGCAAATTTTTATCACTTGCACACAGATAGAGCACTAATCTCTAGGGTATATGAAGAACTCAAAAAGCTAAACACCAAAATAATAAATAACCCAGTCAATTGGGTTATTGAACAGACACTTCTCAGACTGAAATACAATAAATCAACAAATATATGAAAAAATGTTCAACATCTCTAGCTATTAGAGAAATGCAAATGAAAACTTCTCTGAGATTTCATTTCACTGCAGTCAGAATACAAACAATAATAAGTGTGGTGAGGATGTGGAGAAAAAGGCACATTCATATATTGCTGATGGGACTACAAACGGTGCAGCCAATATGGAAAGCAATAAGGAGATTCCTTGAATAAAACAGAACCACCATTTGACCCAGCTATCCAACTCCTCGATCTACTCAAAAACAGCATACTACAGGGACTACGTCAGTGTTTATTGCAGCACAATTCACAATAGCTAAACTGTGGAACCAACCTAGATGCTCATCAGTAGATGAATGGATAAAAAAATGTGATA